TCATTTTTTCAGACTGCTTTTCGCCCCTTAAACGTCCTTTTTTTTCCTTGAAAATTTGCAGTGACATGCCGAGTTCCAATACGCAGGGCACCTCTTGGCCGGATTTTTTGAAATTGGTCAAGGGGGCCATTTAAGACGCCATTTTGTCCTATACATCTATTTTACATCATGTGTTTCGATAGGATTATCATAGAAAAAAAGAGAGTGGTTTACAATAACAACCGTAAAGAGAGAGAGAAAAAACAATTTAACTCCGGCCATAATACAGATCCTGCACGTTTTCCGCCCATTCATTACACGCATTGTCTATGGGGCATATCGGGTTCACGCTTTTGGCCCCCAGAACGAACTTGATTGCAATGTCAAACATGCACCAAATCCCATTGGTTTGTGCACGCAGTGCTTGCGAGCCCTTTCTAGGTTCTTTCCCCTATCCCAATTTCTTTCAAACTTCGTAGGCATAGTACCATCCCATCAAGGTCACTGTTGATGCCTTTCTTTCGCCCTACCTATCTCCAATATCACAGAAGCTACAGACTTCGTGCAAATTGCTCTGGATAGTCCGAGAGAAGCTCTTTAGTTTGACACGTAGAAACACGGCGTCATTGCACGCACATCGTTCTGACACGATTGCATTTCTAGTTATGCATTGAGTTGTTTACTGATTGTGGCGCGACAAAACATTGCCCGACTTTGATAATGTTAGAGTTTCGATTATAAATTATTTCAGAAATGAAAAGTATATTGCAGATTCGAATTGTAGAAATAATAAATTCACAAGAAAATGGTTTCAATTCAGGAATTTGTTTATATAAAAAATAAATAAAGAATTAAAATAAAAAATAAATCGGCCTAAATAATAAAATTAAACAAAATCGGAATTTTTCATTTTCTATTTTTCATTTTTTTTTAAATCATCAGCAGTGGTAACAACAAAATAATTGTATATAGCTCAATAATCAAACGATAATATGTCTCTTTCACATTGTTTTTCTAATTTGTGTTGTTCATGAATATCAGAAATATGTTATTAAAAATATGTATGTTTTCTGTTAACTCGACAGTTCAACAAATATTTGTATCTTGAGTAGTCAATTATATTAATGTTATAAATATAAATTACCTTGAATATATGTTTGTTAATTTGTTGCAAATGAAAATCAATAAAATGTGGAGGGAAAAAGTATGGAAAAACAAAATTATTTTCCTCTATTTCAAAGTTGGGAAAAATGTAGAACATTAACAAAAGATAGTTTGAATGAACATAAAATAAAAACTAATCAATAGGTCATTGCCAATTTGTATACGGAATTATGATTATACATTTTACTCGGCGTTGAAAATGTAGAGACCTAAATGAAGATTCTTGACCAATTGGCTCTCTTTCATGAACGACACAATGTACTACAACAGAAATTGAATCACATTTTCCAGTGATTTGTTCAACATTTGCTCCTGTACAATTTGTAATGCAGAGCATTCTGGATCAAAAGAAAACAATAAAACGTCTCTAAAAGGTGAAACTAAACTGATGTGTGTTAAGTTCAATGCAACAAGTTAACAGTTTCACACCGCTTTGAGGTTATGTTACACCGGTTTATCATAAAATTGTTAATTCTAAAATTAAATTAATAAAACATAATAATAAATGATCAGCATTAGAAAGGCCACACCGAGTTTCGTTTTTCTTTCTTCCACTAATGTACAGAAACATTTAAAAATGCCTCTACGTCTGCCGTTGTAACTTTTCTACACCGGCGGACGTGTTACATGAATATGTAATTATATAATCAAAATAATAATAATAATATTAGCAATAATAATTATAATGATAATAATACAAGTAATACAGATAGTGCTAATGATAAGAATAACAGCAAAAATAATAACAATAATAATAATAATAATAGTAATAATGATAGTAGGTTCTGGTAAAGCGCTCATGTCTCTCAGACTTGACGCTCCTGGCTCTCCACAGCTGTCAACCCGGCTACAGCAGGGCTACTATTATGGCGCCTTAGCATTTCATTTTGGTTAAGATTTGGAGACATAATTCGAAAACTTTACAATGTTTATTTTCGTTTTAATAAAGGGTTATAACCTGAAAAACACAATGTTAAAAAGTTTACATTTTCTTATCACGTATGAAAAATACGCAGTATATCTTACATTTATGCAAGCAGAAAATCCCAAACTTATGTTTCATGAAGTCTCTATTCTTTATATTTTCAAAAGATTAATCAATAACCGATTAAAGATCGAAGTATTGTAAAACCAAAGAGCTATGCATTTTTTTAAACACCGTTATTCAAGAAAATTAAACATGTTATATTTGAATTATATAAGGATACTCTGATGTTATTTCAATTGATTGTGTGTCATTGTTTGATTTATTTAAAAGCATATATTTATCAATAAATTCATTTTACAAAAAGAATAAACAAAATGCCCGAACACTGCCTTTACATACTTTAATCAGATCCATGGGGTAAAGGTGACTAATAAAAATAACGATTGCTGAGAAGTGGATCTCCCAACGAAATGGTAAAACTGCAGTGCTAGAGACCCATAGATTTAGCCGATGTCTATTTTCTTATAACAAAATATCCTTAAAATCAATTAAACATGGTTAAAATCAGCAGAACATTAAGAATAATGCATTATGTTAGTGTTTAGGCAATTTTCTGAAACAAAATATCATCATAATCAAGTATATACTGTTAAAAATCAGCACAACGTGTGATATAATCCATGTTTTTATTACATATGCATCTTAAACAATTTGATGGTTAACGTTTTTAAATGCTTAATCTCCACCAGTGCACAATGTAATGAATATATTATTTATCTATCATCAAGTATCCAATAAAAAGCCGAAATACCTAATTAAAATTACACTGAAAACAGTAAATAACATAACATAACATAATATTTCACACACAAGTAAGGAATTTTCAAATGTATAGATTCACGCATAGGCCTACCAATCCTTACAGACGAATGCATCGAAAAAGATGATACATTGAGCATTCAATAATTAACTTCTTCTTTTTTTCAATTTCAATTTTGCTCCAAACAATTCAATGAAGCAGAAAATACACAAAACAACATCTAAAACAAAAAAGGAAAAACAACTTCAATGGATCTCAAAAAAAAAAGGTTCTAGAGATGTCTTCTCTAATTCAAAACTTTTCCGCTAATGATTGTTTTGTCATTCATTGTTATCTACCTGTTAATAGTCTTATGTGATGTTGCGATCGGACCTTTTTGGATATCCTATGATGAAACAACAAAAGATAACAATGATACAGAAAATCACGTGTCCCCACACTTGTCAAACTGGTCAATGCTCAGTTGTAGATCATCTATAGTAATGTATCCTATTTGTTTTTCTTCTTCTTTTTAATAATATTAGAGTTATTGTTTTGGTACTTTGTTTAATTGAACTCAAGATCGATCCCAAAATCAAAATTTCTTGCACAGATTATTGAGCGCTCTTCATTTTTCTTATAAAGTGGTTCTTAAACCACCGTGTATAATTCTGCTGCAATAACATAATTTAGCTCAACTTCAATTTAGAATTTAATGTGGAAACTAAACAATTAGAAGAATTGGTGTATGCTCATAGGCATTATACATCACTTTATATGAAATGCTTTAATGATATATTTTTAATTTAATAATTCCATTCAACATAATTTGACCTTACCTGTCACACAACAGACACACTGTATACTTTTCAGTCTATGGATCTCATTTCAACAATTGCAATACTATAATTTCCTCTCTCTCTCTCTCTCTCTCTCTCTATATATATATATATATATAAACATTTTTAAACAAAAATGGTTTGTTTATTTAATGATTATTTTTACTTCCAATAATTGGTTCAATATTTATAGTTACTGTTATAGGTTGTTCATCCATCTATTATCATTTACTTATACATGTATATAACTTTAGGTATGAACAATAATGTTAAATTTATCTTTTATCATTTTTATTGTACATTTATATGATCATTCCTGTTTTTATGCACATTTATGTAAACATTGCAGTATTGGTCCCTGGACTACTGCATTGTACATTGTATATGTTGATATTAATAAGCCGAAATTGAATTGAATTGAATTGAATTAAACTTTATCTTCTGAAAATTAGTCGCAATTTACCCTAAATGTGTACGCGATACTGAACTTATGAACTTTCTGCCTTAATATACGGTTTATTGCTCAACGCCATCTCACGGTGAACTTACCAACATAGCTTAACCAAATACCCAATTCCCCCTTCGCAGACAAGGAATTCGATGCAAAAAGCCTTTTCGTAAATACTATCTGCGAATGGGTAGTTAAAGGTCATTTCTGATAAAAGTGTTAAACCCACCGACAGGAATACGTGCTCATGTTATTAAGTAACATTATTCATGTGTGCATGTACATTCTTATGCTTATGATACAAGAGGGCAAACAAAAGCTTTTCATGAAGCACATACATGACTTTGGCATTAATTATTCTTAAATACAAAAAGTGGGACTCCTCCATGAGTAAAAGATCTGTGGATATTTGGGGTCATTTGACCCATGTGCTAACTACGAAATGGTCTAAACGGGGTCATACTGCTACAGCTGACCTGAGTTGGTGCTAGAGGGTATTGTGCGGTATAAACACAAGCCTTGCTTCTTTCTAAGCTTTCGAATCCGTTTGTTTTCTTAATTATTTACTGTACTGATCTTTCTGTTTTATCATACCGTTAATGGGAATAAAATACATGAGAATATCGACTAATCTAGTAAGCACATATTAATCGACTACGAGGTTAAAATTTGTTTTATATCCCACATCGGCAATAAGTTATATTTAAAGTGAATTTTATAAATTAAAAGAAATGATTCTGCAGACAGTTTAGCTTCAGCTAGATTTTACAAAGCACAACATGCATACATGTAATAAAGTCGATGCGCGCTCTTTTGATATTGACATTGACATTTCGCGTAACCTACTTTGCTATGCTTATTCAATGGGCAAGTGGGGCAGCAGCAAAAAATTACTGTACCAAAGTCCTATCGCAGGAAGATAGTACATATCTATCATTAATCACGTGACCTCGTTTAGACCAATCAGATTGCAAGATTATTAGTATGCGGGATATAATAATCAATATATCTGCGTTAATAGACACCGAAATTTGAGTTGCACTACATTTAGGCCACTTTATTTTTCCCCATTGTCCCCCCCCCCCCCCCCTTAGTTGGGTTAATCACTTCTTTACATTATCTCGCATTTGCTTTTCTGAGGTGTTTCATTTTCTTTTCGCCACTGGAAGGTGATGCTGTCATCAGCTCGTTTGATGCATGCCTCTAGTATATTCAGCAGAGCAATGTGTTTCTTAGAATCCATCTCGTGGTTTACATCTGTGTAATTTTCAATTAAGAACACACTGCCCTTTTCCATACCGGCCCTGGTGATGTCTCCAATGATCTCCTCTTGGTTAGATATACATTTGGCAAAAGTCACCACCATAATAGGATATCCACCTGTATAATGATGAATATGATTATGATGTTTACGACGAGTACGATGATGATAATAATACAAATAATAATAATGAGAATAGAAATAGTAACATAAACAACAGCAATGATACTAATATTAATACAAAATAATAGTAATATATATAATGATAATAATGACAATAAGGTATTATCAACTGTATTGCTATCATTCCAATTATTATTCCAATTATTATTTCAATTTTATTTCTATTTTCATTATTATTATTATCATTAATAGCATTAGTATTATCACCAACTTCATCATCATCGTCATCTTTGTTTATACATAGAGGGATAAAAAGGTTTTTCGTTCAATTATGCAAACAGTACATAGTGCACATCAATCTCGAATAACGTCCTTTGGCAAGAAATCAATCTATATTTGCAACACATTTACCAGTTGTAGTAACAGGGTACATGGTAGCTGTCGGTTGTTTGAGTTTAAGCCGGGTTGTAAGCGATTAGAGACGTTATATTGGAATATATAAAATTACATTTCCTGGCGAGCATCCTATTAACTGAAAAAGTGTCACGTAATACTCGACAATTTGTTATAGGTGCACGAACATGCAATATCCCAAATACCCTCAATTATATATTACAAATATTGCGTGCATCGTTGTTCAATAGAACATACATTCACCTCCTACTTGAGAATTCCCCCCGAGCCATTATATTTTTTTTCAACCTCGGCCTGCAGCCTCGGTAAAATACATAATATCTCGGGAATTCCTGAATTTGTCGGTTCATATACTAGTATTTTATTGATTTGAATTGGAACACCGGAGCATGCAATATTTGTATAACGTGAAATGCGCTATATACATGAATTGATTGTTTAATTATTACTATCATTGATATTTTCATTATACGGTTTCGATGATATCAATATTCTTATAATTGATTTCACTTACCAAGCTGATTCCTGACTTGAGGAACCAGTGTCTCTAGAAATTTAGTGCAGTGCCGTGTTCCCGTTGCTGAGCTAATTAAAAGATACAAATAAACAATCAGTCTTTCAAACAAACAAAATTCAGAGTGATAAAACGAGGTACTTATTCGAAATGGGTCCATCTATTGCTCCTCCGCATCATTATTCTACTACAAATACTACTAGATTACGGTGGTCACTACAATTATAGTCAATCACCTTTAACCCTTGAATTCATTATCATAGTTACCATTGTCATTTTTATTACTGTTATTTTCAATATCATATTATTCTGCTATCTGTCTCTTCATCAAATATGAAGAATTATATACAGCTCTGTTATCTATGTTGATAATGATCTAACAACGGAAAAGGAAATGCAAGAAAGGCTGTTCTTGTGGTTTCCCTTCTCTTTCTTAATATATTAAACATATTTTGTTCATTTAAAGCTATAACGCTATTTTCCCCGGTGTATTTCGAGTTAAGAGTTTCTGATGAAAGGTAATACAAAGTTTTGGTATGGGGTCATGAATTTGGTTCAAATGAACATAATGGAAGCAAATGCGATTCAGCAATATTGAGTAATCGTTGTCGCGGTTGAAAACGAGTCTAAAGTTTTGAAATTGTAAATAATAAACTCTTTATGTTGTATAGCTCCCTCTCAAGGTCAAGATATTAATAAAGCTATAAAACAATGTTTCTTGACTAAAATCGACCGATGAGCTCTTCCCGTTTGGAAATTATACATCACAACTACATATTCTGAGATTGTTATGGTCGCAGTTAACATTGTACGGCCGTATAGGCGCTATTTGCAATTTATCAAAATTTACCGGGAGCACCGGTACATTTTTATATTCAATTTTTCTCTAAAGCAGAAGTGTTTTAGTGGCTTATTTTTTTAGTGCTCATAAAACATCCACAGGGGCATCCAAATATATCAAAATGGTAAAGAATCACTATCAACCCAATTTCAAAATTTCCCAAAACTTTGTATTACCTTTAAGAGTCTATAACGAGGTAAGGGCTGCTGATTATATTAAGGGTCGCTGATTGTGAGTGTACATTGCGTTAAGGGCTGCTAATTTTTAATTTTGTCTTTCGACTGAGGAGAGGGGAGTATTTGAGTCTCTAGGGGCTAGTATTCAAAATATTTAATATAGTATTTATTGATCAGTAATAAATGTATTCAAATTTTGTAAAAAGTATAGATTTAATCTATCTAACTCAGTTGGAAGTCCAGAGTAGAAACTAGTAATTTTTCCCCGATTGTTTCCAAACATTTTCTTTAAACAATGTAATCCCTTGACCAAAGCTCAACTTTATAGGATTATATATTCAGAATTGTTTTTACTATCGTTACCTGTATCTCAGGATGAAAATGGGACAGTCAATCTTCTCGCCTTTAGTCCAAGAACGAGTGTTGATTCCTCGTTTACCAGCTACAGATATGGGTCATTTTGCGAGAAAGAAAAAATAGAAACAAGAGTCAACGAAAAAAATGACTGCCTTGTTACTCGTGCATGATAAACTACATTAAAGCAACAAAACAAAACAAACAGAAATAATAGAATACAAGTATTGAAATTCAAATTCAAAAGAATGAAAACAAGATAGAAACATTCACACCAAAACAGCATAAGATGGCTTCAGCATAAGATGGCTTCAGTTTGAATTTGTTAATTTAATACTGTACAATATACACTTCAAATCGAATTAATGTTAATCAATACAAAACTTACTATCGACGATAGTGAGAAAAATTATGATATTAATAATGATAATGATGAAAATAATAATGATAATATTAATAATTATAATATAAATACAAATACTGATAATAATAATAATAATGGATATTAATGAAAAAATTAAAGGAAGCAATTGAAAAAGAAGGATACTGGCACCAGTAAAATGTCATTTGAAGTAATGAATTACTGAAAATATTCTTGATATCAATTTACAAATTTGATATAACACAAAAAAGATACAAACAATATTGAACTCATAACATAGTATATGCACATACTTAAATGAATGTAAGACTAAGCATTATCATTTGACAGAATTTTACTAAGGTTAAACGTGTTTGCGCATTATTGGAGTAAAAAAAAGCTGATACATTTTCAGTGTATTCAGTCTTTCAATAAAATATTTATCAAGTAACAATAACACAATGCGAATTATAGTACATACAAACAGACATAATAATAACGTTTTATTTACCCAGGGTAGCCACTTCAGTTATATAACTGCTCTCCCAGCGGGCCCTGCATAACATTACATGTTACTATTACCCTTCTCCAATCAAATATGCTGAGCGCCTAGCTATAGAAGGCAGAAGGTCCCATTGTTATAAGTCTTTGGTATGACTCGGCCGGGGATCGAACCCACGACCTCCCGTTCATGAGGCGGACGCTCTAACCATTGAGCCATAATGCCCGGTACTGATACTGGGCATGATAATCTTTCAATCGACGTTCCACAGTTTGTTTGACCCAACCACAACTAGTCACAAATTTCCCATAAATTAGACTTCCCCATATTGTCCGGAGTCAGCTCGATTGTTGTCAACCAAGGTGCCTGATAGATATTCTGCTCAAAGAGTAAGTTTAACATAATGTACACCTTACCAGAAAATCATCTTGTCCACTGTGTACAGTCCTACAACTGAAGTTTATCATTCTGTTTTCGATAAATTTCTCAAGTTTCAGCCTCCCCAATTCACCAAGTGAATACGCGCAAGGCTTTTATTGCACGCACCTGCCATTCATTTACATGTTAACACAAATACCGCGAATGTTTTCCGGCGGTTTACAGCGGCCCATCTGAGCGAGCCTTTAAGGTAATACAAAGTTTTGGGAAATTAAAAAAAAAAACGGGAAACGATTCTTTAAAATGTTGATATATTTGGATGCCACTGAGGATGTTTTATAAGCACTAGAAAAGTTAGCTCCTAAAACACTTCTGCTTTTGAGAAAAATTGAATATCAAAATTTACCGTTGCTCCTTATATTGATAAATTTCAAACAGCGCCTATACGGCCATCCAATGGTAGCTGCGACCACGAAAGTATCAGAATAATTATGCAGTTGTGTCGAATAATTTCCAAACGGGAATAGCCAACCGGTCGATTTTAGTCAGCAACATTGTTTTAAAGCTAAATTAATATCTTGACCTTGAAAGGGAACTATGCAACATTAATAGTTTATTATTTACAATTTCATCACTTTAGACTCGATTTCAACCGCGACAACGATCAATTAATATTGTAGGATTGCATATGCTTCCAATATGTTCATTTGAACCAAATTCATGACCTCATACCAAAACTTTGTATTACCTTTAAAAGAAAAAAAGTTTAATACTCACTGATCTCAGCTATCACCTCTGGAACTCTATAAATGGACAAATCAACTAGTCCACGTGTATCGAATGTAGTTACGTAATCAGTTAGTCTGGCAGGGTCTCGGAATATAGTCTCGCCTCCATTCGACGCCTCACCTTTCTCAACGTAGACTTGTTCCCAGCCACCTAAACATTAACATGACAAATGTGTGCATGAAATTTCTTCCCAACATTTTGGGGTAATTCTTGTCATATTTAAATAATAGAGCACTTGAAAAAGAATCCTAACCACATGTTAGTGGGGACCTCTCTTGTACGATATTCTTCCAAACTAACATGAACACCACCACCCACCCCTAAGATAAAGGTATCAAAGTTTTTAATTTACCTTTACCCTTAAATTAATCTTCACTTTAATTCTTTACATGCCATGCAAGTGATCTTTCTGTCCCACGTGCCATTTATCACGCGGTAGTTAAACTAAGAGATCGAGATTGTTTCCATTCGAAATAAAGTTATACATTTGTTAAATGCTTAGGCATGTACCTAGTCAAGAGCGAAAATTAGGAATTTTGCATGGCTTTTCTGTTCCACAAAGCTATCAACTTTTTTATGTTTGATATATTTCTCAGTTTTGCCGATCTCCACCGACCATGCCAATCGGCTCTTAGGCAACGAAAGGGTTGATCAATTAACACTTCAGTTCCATGTACCTTTGAATGCAAAGTGAAGAGAGTTGAGAAAGCTACTCTTGCCGGAATCCTGGACACCAAAGACACCTAGTCGAACCTTTGAAGGTCTTTCGAATCCTTCACCTGTATCTTTGATAGTCCATTGACCAGGTCTGTAGTCTTGAATCTTCTCACGGAGCCGTCGAATTTCAGCTGATGTTTTGATGATTGGAAGTTGACATGGATGTCAAGGTTTGGATAAGAAAATGAGCGCCATGTAATAAGAGAAATAAATATAAATGATTCAACGATATCACTTTGAACTCTCTCTTTCTTTCCCTTTTCCCACTCTCTCTCTCTCTCTCTCTCTCTCCCTCTTTCTTTCTTTAGCTCTATTTGTTCTACATTTGTATTTTTGTATATGTATACATATTTTAATATACGAGCTTCAAAGTTTTACTTAAAATCCGTTTGAATATTTGTGTGCATGCTTTCTGTTGTTCTATTCAATATATAAAGTAGTTATGGCAAAAAATGGGCTTAAAAAGATGTGATACTAACATGTGTGATGTATGTACCACGCGACTCCGAAGGGAGACAGTAGCACGACGAGCAAGATAGTTCCGCTAAGAACAGTTTCATTCTCTGAAAATACATACAAATAACATGAGGGGTTTCATTCATTCATTTGTATACGCTAAACTTTTCAAGGAGGATGAGTATGAGAAGAACAAGAAGAGAAAGAGAAGGAGGAGGAGGAGAAAAGAAGACGAACAAAACAGACCAAAAAATAAACAAAATTGGATATACTAAAAGGGGGTTGGTGGAAAACTGACTGATCCAAGATATCCTTCAACAAATAAACCCTACATTAACTTAGCAGAAAATGTCTCTTTCATTTTTCACCAAATGGTTTATCCAGGGGAGGGCATATGCCCAGGGGCGGATCTAATTGGGCCCGGGATTCGGTGTTTTAACCCCCCCCCCCCCTCCCATTGGGCGGCCAAGTGAAGAAAAAAGGGGGGGGGGAAGAAAAAATAGAAAAAAAGAAGAAGAAAAAAGTAAAACAGTAAAACGGCGCAATTTTTGGAAAATCCTGGTTCCGCCGCTGGGTCAAACCCCCCTCTTGGCAAAAAGCTAGATCCGCTCCTGATGTCCCTTAAAGCTAAATTATATTTAAAAAGAGGGGCAATGTACCTTCGAATTGCGCAACCGCTCCCTAATCCCATTCTGAGGCAAAATGGGCAAAGAGGCTAGAACACTTAAATGTTTTTTCGTTTGTTCTTTCGCTTGTCACAGGATTTTGAAGGAAATAGCAAGCACATTGATAATATTATGGTGTATTTATCTATATAATATGGTGACTCATTATACACTTAATTTTGAGTGGAGTAGCTTGGCGACGGGAATAAAAAAAAAATCCGAGCCTATGTTATCTTACATTTATCAGCATGAATTGTTTTGATATCAAATGTCCCTGGATAGACGTACGTGTATATGAAAACGTAAACACAAACATACACTGTTACACACACACACACCCAACAAACATATAAAAATCATGCTATGACGACGATGATGATACTACTACTACTTCTAATAATACTACTTATTCTAAAAGTAACTATAATAACAACAACAACAACAATAAAAAGAAAAACAAGAAGACAAATAAAAGAGGAAGAAGAAGAAGGAGGAGGAGAAGAAGAAGGAGGAGAAGGAGGAGGAGGGGAAGAAAAAGGAGGAGAAAAAAGAGAAGGAGAAGAAGAAAGAGAAGAAGAAGAAGGTGTATGGGAAAGAAGATGTGGGTTACTCACGCGTTACAATGGAGCCCAGTAAAGAAAGCAAGATCGCCCCAATCAACAACCGTTTCAGGATCATTTCCTCCATCTCTTCCTTTATAGCTGATGATACTCATTGGAAGTCGAGAATTAAAGTTCCAGTAACGTTTTCGTTCCACTTGAGAAGAGCGGGATAGTCCGATAACAAGCTCTGTGTAGGCGAATAACCTCCGTCGACAGATGTTTAGCGTATTACTGGTGCCTATCTGAGTGGGGATTCCCCACAGCTTGTTGACGTAATGGCTGCTGCTCTTTGACCTGCCAATAGACTGGTTTCCGGTACTTTGCCGTGAGACTGGTGTCTAATTGTTGCGGTCTCACATGTTCTAACAAATTTAGCTATGATCAGTTATGATCTTCTTCGTAACAATACATGGCCCTTTTCAACTATTTTGCAACTACATGTGTAATTTTCACCTCTTACCCACAATGCAGTAGATGTAGGCATTTTTTTTTGTACACACGCACGTACACCACTGAGATCTACAGTCAGTGACGCGCGCACACACACACGTGAAGCTCGAGCACGTCTACAAAGCTCGGAGATTCCCCGCTTTGTGACATGTAGTGCGTCAATAATGTTCATTAAGATACTAAATGTTTGTATCGAGACTTTGCGTTAAATAAAAAGAAGCAAGTTGTATCTTGACTACAAGTAAGGAGGGTTAAAGATGCTTATTTTTCAACTTTTGTGTGAATGTACAAAAGGTGATGTGGATTAAAAGACTTGTAACTGGAGATCAGATAATAAAATGGATAAAATACTTCAAATATTTAATGAGACTATTCGGAGAAAATCTTTTTTTTTATTGTAACTATTAACCTGACATGATTGACATACAAATACCAGAATAGTATCATGAATTGCTAAACTTTTTGCTCGATATGAATCAGTTAATTTAAAACGTCACAACTAATAAAGAAAACGATTTTTCAAAATAAATAATATGTTTATTCATAATAATAGAAGAAAAGCATACTTTAATGAAAACCTTTTCCTAAAAAATACTTGCAGGTTGTGTCATATTATAGATTTTTTTCTTCTTTTTACCTCTTCAGAGGGACTTTATTGTTCCATTTCAAAATACATATAGACTATTTACAAAACAAGTAAAATGAAACATATGAATTATATACAAGATCAACATAATTTCTTAAAATGATAATTATAACATTTCTAATACTTTCTTAACTTCTTCATTATCGAGGTATCTTAAATTTTCTTTGTATTTTGAATAACATTTCAATGATTAAATAAAATTATTTATTAACCTCTTTGGATTGGTTGGTACTTCCCCAAAGTTCTGCTTTACGTAGTCTTATTGTTCCATTTCAAAATACATATAGACTATTTACAAAACAAGTAAAATGAAACATATGAATTATATACAAGATCAACATAATTTCTTAAAATGATAATTATAACATTTCTATTACTTTCTTAACTTCTTCATTATCGAGGTATCTTAAATTTTCTTTGTATTTTAAATAACATTTCAATGATTAAATAAAACTATTTATTAACCTCTTTGGATTCACTGTTTCAAATTCGTTATTCGTGAATCAAAACAAAGATTTCTCAATTGATCGGACAAAGCTATAAAAATGCTGGTAATAATGATAATAATAGTGATAACAATAACAAAATGTCCATCTATACATGAACATGAGAGAACGCGATTTTCAAAGTACCCCAACCAAGTGGAAATAGAAGGACCTTTGCATGTTAGCAAAGACCTTGCTATTGCAAAGGAAAATCATCATATGGGAAACAGAAGGAGGAAGGAGAAGGGAAAGGGACAGTATGGAGGATATGAACAAAGAAAGAGAAAGCGTGGAAGGGAAAGTTAAAAGATGAATCGGCAGAGGAGAAGAGAAAAGGGAAATAGAAACATATTGTATGGTATGGAAGACATGATTATATAGTTACAAAAACCAGTACAGACTATAACAAAGGGAGAATTAATGATAGGTTAACTCGCTAAAAAGTCTAATCAGACATGACATTAAACAGATTTTACTTCATGAACAAGCTAAATGACCCAGCGTTATATATACAGTCAAAATTGGTAGGGAGAAAATATTTTAAACGAAGATTATGCTTCATGTCAACCTGTAAAAGGTGTATGAAAAACATAATATAGTTGCAATTTTTGTTATATATCAACATACAGAACGGTCGACACACTAATGCCGTCTTCTGCTTCTGCTTCTTCTTCTTCTTCTTCTTCTTCTTCTTCTCCTCCTTCTTTATCTCCTTCTTCCTCTTTTTCTGTCTTTTGCTTCTTATTGTTATCATAAGTTTCATCATCATTATCATCCGACACCATTAGACTCATTATTTGAATACTTTCTCTCTCTATTTCCTGTTCATTCCCTGGCCCGCCCCTTTTGCCTATCCCCCTCTTCCACCCTCTCCTTTTGTTCTTCCCCTCTACCATCCATTTTCCCTTATTTTATATTGTTCTCGCTCTCTCTTTCTTTCGCTCTCCTTTGTTCATTCTTTCGTTCACCCCGTTTCCCTTTTTTCTACTTTGTTTCTCTTTCTTTCCGTTTTTCTTTCTCTTTCTGTCAGTTCTTCTTTCTCTCTCTCTCTTGTTCTGTCGCTCTCACCATTTTCCCCTTATCTCTTCCTTCCTCACTCTCACTCTCTCTCTCTCTCTCTCTTCCCCTCTCAGAATGATTCTGGGCAGCAAGATTCCAGAATGTCCTCATATTCGTGTATCGAGGTAACCTAATATAATTTTGTTTGTATTCATATTTTCGGCAGCGAGGTGCAAGTATACATATGTTTAATTTGAAAGAAATGTTAGCTAGTATATATTTATTATAGTTATTCTTTTTTACCATCCCACAAATTTCATTCCTTTTGCCTCGCTCGCTTCGCTCTGCCACGTTTTTTCAATATTTTGTTTATAAACAATTGTGTCCGTATGAGTGCACATGGTACTTGACGGGTACTGAGATGGTGCAAATGAATTTTCAGTAATGAATTCAGGGTTAGGATGACGCGAAACTTTGTATTTCTTTAAAGGATGAGAAACGCCGAGCTAAATAATATTTATTCTACCCAATAGAAAGCAACGACACCAACAGCCAAATTACGACGTTACAGAATACAGATATAATATGAACTAAAAAATAAAGTATAGATATAACAATGTTACTTGTTTACAAAACATAAAAGTACTTGATATAGACTTGACTTGTTACACATTAAGTATATATTTGAGTAAAGCACAAATGTAATTTTAAAAACACTGATTAAAACAATACATAACTACCATCATACTTTGACTGATATATCAGGTATTGCATAGCATGTACAGGTGCCGTGGTCGAGTGGTTAAGTCGCCGGACTGTTGATCACAAGGTCAGTGGTTCGAGACCCCCCGGCACTAATGTCCTTTGGCAAGACATTGATCTACATTTGCCACACTCAACCCAGGTGATGTAAATGGGTACCTGGCAGGAATTACTTTTTTTGAAATGCTAGAGCGCCGTAATGGCAGCACAACTAAAGCCGGGGTAATAATCTCCAAGTTTGGAAGCGCTTAGTGATCGTAACTAGCGCTATATAAGAACTGAGTATTATTATTATTATTTATAACAGCAATATATTATTTTTATATTTTATTCAAATCAAATAGAAAATTGAGACCAGGTACAGGTGACGAATAATCTTGAGATTAGTAATTCTATTTTCACCAATATGGATGGTTATCACGCATACCATATTAAACAGATTCTTTAAAAAAGGGCCGCTCTGCGCATAATGATATTGAAATATTGCAAGAAAGAAATTCGAAATTAAGACCAAGCAGTCGTGACAGATGGATGCAGTCCTATAAAAAACGATGTTGTTCTGTGAGAAACACATTTTTGGCCAAGCGATCCTAGTTCGAAACGAAGTCTTAAATCATAGATCACCCTAGCTTTGTACTTACAACAAAACACTTACAGTAAAATACAACGGGCATCATCATCACCATAATCATCCCCATCATCATCACCATCATCATCATCATCACCATCATCATCACCATAATCACCATCATCATCACCATCATCATCACCATCATCATCACCATCACCATCATCATCATCATCACCATCGCCACCACCATCATCACCATCATCATCACCATCACCATCATCACCATCATCATCACCATCACCATCATCATCATCATCGTCATCGTCACCACCTTCTTTGTTGTTATTAGTATTATTAAGGTAGGTCTACATTGCCTGTACTTGAAGACAAATATGGGGCAGTCTATCTCCTCATCCCATGCCGCTTATGAGGATCAATTCCCCTATTGCCAACTGACAACAAATAAAGTTACCCGTATGAAGAGAGTTTATCTCATAAAATTGTTCAGCTATAAAAACTTTAAAATTGCCTTTAAAGAGCCCGTTTCTTACCTTTTACAATGATGTAAAACTTTAATGGCTGAGCTAGCAATAAATTGCAATATTTCCTAAAGTGTCAGTGATGCATTTACATACATGCACACATTTTGTGAAAAACATTACACAGTATAGGATAAACAATATATTTTAGGTACATTTTGAAATATATATATATTTTGGGTAGAATTTATTCTCTAAACATGCATTTTGGTTTTAACTCGAAGGTGTGTGAAATTTGACCAAAATGTTTGAGAGCGTATGTAAAATAGGGATGGGATTTGGGGTTGATAATCGATTGAGCCTAACTTAAGTTCATTCTTGGGGTTTCAGTATTCGAAATTACGCTTCGTAGGAAATTGATAAAAAATGATCTCCATGCTTCAATACAATATTGTTCTCACTTTTGAGAAAGAATCGTTCGTTCGTGTCTCCTTAGATCAAGATTACTGTAATCTTGATCTTCGGAGTAGTTGCTACATACGGCCGTGTCAGACACGTTGCCCCGGGGTGCGAGATAGGACTCTTGTAGCGTGCCCCCATTTAAAACAATTATACAGTTACAGTTAACAATACATTTAATTAATAGTATGAAACTATTAAAATTACTCTCATGTTACGGGAAAAAATATTGCATATACATATATAATGAATCAATTGATTTGGTCGATCCAGTTCGATGGCACGAACACGGCACTACTGGACAGAGATCCTAATAATTACAGTGCTTGGTCTTTTATTGCTCTGTTCGCCAGCAGTTTAAGGATATGGAATCCCGCAGCACATTACTCACAAGAGTTCTAACAAGCCAAGCTTATACAAAGCCTATAATAAGTAATGTCGTACATGTACCACCCACCCGATCGATCAAAAACTCATAAATCATAACTGAGAAAGAATAACATGGACATAAGATGATGGAATTTCTTCCATTATCAAAATAATTTTAAAAATGAAAACTTGTCTAAGACTAAAAATGTTTTCTCTTTCGACAAACTGTATGTAATGAGATTTTATCCACAAAAAGCAATAATAAAAAGTAAGGATTTTGTCTCGATTGTTATTCGAAAATGTAGCCCGTATTACAGTTAAAGAGGAAAATGTTAACATTGGATATATGCAAAGTGTTTATAATAAAATGGCGATTCATTTTAGTATTTTTTTTTATGAATTGGGATTCCTATTCGATATCAACTAATTTTTGAATGCAAAGTTATACAAATGGATGTTTTTTTTTTTGGAGGAGCTCTTACAGCCAACGAAATTAGTTCAAACTCGTCATTGAAACTTTATTACTGTCTCCCCTCGGTGTTGAAGGAATTCAAGACAATTTGAAATGGCATGAAAGTGAAATGACAAGACTACGTCGGTTAGTTGTAATTATATGAAACATGTTTTATGAAGAGTTCGCTTCCAAAACATGCTCTAACAATTTTTTTCTCAAAATGTATTATTTTTCAGTTGAATTCAAATTACTCGTTCCAGTAGCTACATAGATTTAATTTCCTTTAAATAAAAAAGTGAGAGGGAACGTATGTGCTAAACTCACTGTGTAGTATTTAATATTTATTTATTTATTATTTATGAATGCATGTTCACAATATCACAATTTATTGGAGTTAGCTTCACCTGGAAAAGAAAATCATATAACAAATCATTTTCAATTTTACAATCCATTTGAATTGAATAATTCACATGAAAAAGAATATTACAATGTTTTATCAAAGACAAGTTGCAACTATTATACAGTTTACATAATGAACACACAAAGGTGCTGAAGCATAAGCATATAGCATGAATCGTTACAACACTTTTCAATATGTAGATTTATATATATATATATATGTAAGTAATATCTTATATCTGTGTAATGATAATATATACGAGTGCTCTGTGTAGCGGCAAGACTAGTTTGGTAATGACCTTCTACAGAGGCAGGGTTAAGAGTAAACAAACTTGACCTCAAACTTGACCTTTGTGCTCCTAGTTTCGATGAAGGTCAGTAGAAGGTATGTGTCATAAGGGCGAGGTATCGCCCAAAGAATAAAACAAGAGAAAGTAGATTCAGAAGTTGCAGTATATTTAGAAGAAAGCAGTCAAGGAATAGTATTCCTCCCAGTAAATTGTGAAAGTCCCCAGGATTGCAAACAGTTGGTAAGCTAAAATTACATTATTATTAAACTTTATATCTGTGCTGTCATTTATACCATAATACTTGGTTGAATAACTTATTCATATTTCTGTATTTCAAGCTCAAAGTAGAGTGATGGAATTTGGCATTTTGCTCTCCATCAAGCATTATACTGCATATACTGTACATGTATACTTATACACACACATTGACAGTGATAGGCATTAAGTCAGATTCAATCGATGTGCTATATACCAAGAGATATACTCTCTATCTTCCATGTTATTATTATGTGCTTATGTTCAAAGGAACCCTTTATTGGTTTGGTTGATTGATATAACAATATTAACTTTGTATTCACTATCTAAGAGTGAGATATATGGTCATTCACACATATATTTGTTGCCAATCAGTATATAACACATCAGCTATATTGTGTTTGGTTGTTGGATGATCTCTGCGCCCAAGCATGGGATCATTAGTAGGTTATTATAACGTTGTAAGGTTGTATCAGTTTATCATTTACATATTTAGTGTTGTTGTTATGAATTAGTCATGAATCACATATATGATCCATCATTACCGCAAGACTATTAGATATATTCAGATACTTATCCTGATAATTAATACAGCCATTTAAACACTGATTTGATAAGGTACAGTTGTTCATGGAATAACAATTATTCCATTCAATTATGAACAAAATTACATGTCATTGATTTCCTTGTATGTATATACATTCATATTAGTATAGTTGAGACTAATTCTTTGTAGGCATATATTGAAGTAATTAACTAGATAGTCAGTCATGTTTGATTCATGTTATTGTTGACAACGAATATTAACACTGTATTTGTGTTTATTTGTTTGTTTAGCGAACCGCTGGTCGCTAAGACTCTGTTGGCCGTACTTCGGTGTCCGGTTGTTGATCTCTGGTCATGATTAGTACGGAAGAAGTTGAAGAAAGGAATAAACAGACTAGAAGTTAAAGCTACTGTTTCAGGAGTCTTCAATCAGCGTGTTTGAACTTAAGCAATTTGAAAATTTCACTGTAGTCAGATAAGATACTACACTCTGTTAAAGGAGATGGTGACTTTATATTTCGGATATCGTTAGGTAGAGTATTCCATACATCTGGACCCCTATGTCTGATTGATTGACGGGCTAATGCAGTGTGAGGATTAACCACATGTAAATTCGATGACTGCCTTGTTGAATATGAGTAAACCATGTTATTAGGTTCGAACATTGAAGATAATAAAGTAGGTAACAATTTGATATTGAAAAGGAACATAAATATGGCAATTTGGAGGAAGTTAATATAGCCTAATAATATAGAAATTTGTTTAGAATGGTTTGGATAGCTATAGCGAATAGAGTTCTCTGTCACACTTGTGGTGCCTTGGCCGAGACGCCTTTCACAATTTCACAATTCATTGGAGTAAGCTTCACATGGAAAAGGATATAATATAACAAATCATTTTCAATGTTACAATCCATTTGGAAAGACTGCACATGAAAAAGAATATAACAATATTTTATCAAAGACAAGTTGCAACAATTATACAGTAAAGAATGAATACACAAAGGTGCTGAAACATAAGCATATACCTTGAATCGTTACAACACTTTTCAATATGTAGATTTATTGTAAGTAATACATCTGTGAAATGATAATTTAAATAGAGGGAAGCATGGTCACGATAACCAGCTCGAGTACAAATATGCGTAGAGCATTCTTTTGCAGCAGACGAATATTATTAGTCACCCACCTGGATGTTGCCCGAAAAATATTACAATACGAGATATATGGTAAAATTAGACTATTATATAGCATAAGTAATATTATATCAGAAACAAAACAATTTTATTCTATACAGTATGCCACTATTTATGGAGATTGATGTAACGATGTGTTTTACATAGTCGCTCTAGTCAAGTTTTTCATTGATATATACACCAAGGAACTTTGTACGTGTCTTTCTCTCTGTAGACAAAAATACATCAATTTTTAAAAATATTTAGAGCAATTTAGGTTATTTTGAACCTCGAAATGTGATAATGTTGAGGAAACGACCAATTAAAAGCATTTAAGATTTGTTTGTTTAAGAAACAACTACCTGTTGGTAATGTTACAATGTAAGGGGTCACCCCCCCCCCCCCCCTCCAACCTCTCCTCCACATATTATATTACTTTTTTTCTTCAATTTAAACAAAATTGTTAGGGGTCACCCCTCACCGCTTATTTTCATTACAACCAGGACAAACATAATATAATTTAGTGCTAACATGAAACCTTCTATGCTTGTATCAATTATACTAAATCACGCTTGATGATACGTCCCCGATAAACATTTGATTTACTTTTAAGACCTTTCTTGTCAAACATAGAATCGCACACTGCCCGCACCCCACCCCCGAAAAAAAATTGGGGGAAAGAGGTACCCCCCCCCCTCCTTTCTTAACCTGAAAATAAGAATCAGAACAAACTGAAATAACCCCTCTGAAGGGACAAAAGATATAGTCATATTTCACATCAAGCCCCGTGCCATCGTGGGTGTGCCAGCATTTTTGCAATGTTCAAAAACTAGCCAGGACAGAGAAAAGAATGGAAAAACTAAAAGCTGAACAAATGAAGGTGGGTTCAATTTTAAGTAGGATTTTTCTGAACTCAAACATATCATTACATAGATCGTCAAACCCCAAAACTTGTGGGTGTACTACTACTGCTAGTAGTAGTAGAATCATCTGGGGCTGGTACCCATATTGCATAAAACTTAGTATTGATGGGTAACTTTGCCAATAACGGTAACTTTCCTGGAGACCTTCATTTGATTGGCTTTTAACTAATGTTGCCATATTAGTAAATAAATGATATTGATGGCAAAGTTACATTTTTTATACGATAAGCCACAATCCTACTTTTATTAATCCTTGACATGATTCAAACAAAAGATTACTTTTTCCAAATCTTTGAACATCTTTTTGAAGATATTTCAAAGTTAAGATGCTGAATTCAAGATTATTTTTGAATAACTTAGTGCAGTTTGGCAAGGAATGTTGTTAAGGACACAGAAAACAAAACATGCGACGGTAGTGTAAATTGTACAAAAAATAGGCATCAATTCCAAAGACTTTTAATATTTAGCCCACATTATTTTTTGATGGTAGGGCTCCAAATTAGGCATGATAGACTAAAGCGACGAATGTCATACTAATATATTTTCAATTTTCAATGTTCTTCTATCAATATGATACGCGAAACAATCTGAGATGCAGACAAACAAGTCTGTAACAAATAACTTACAATACAATGTGTATATGCAAGGCAATCCAAAGGCTGCGTAATAAAGTTGGATGTGAATTCTTATAGAGTGCGCTGAAGCATGACATCCAATCATCGCTGTCAGCATTTATATTAATTTTCATGAATAGTATGCGTAAATGAATGGTACTACATACATGTAGCACAGTCACGATGAACAAGTAAATTATGTGCATTTTCAAGTCAACTGTATTATTACAGGTAGGTTCTTGGATGTAAACAATTCAGAAATGTATTATAAAGTTCTATCACTGCAGCCATTTCGTTTAGTTCAAGCTTCGTATGTAAACATGATGTATAGTAAAAGAAAACACAAAAACAAAAACCAATGCAAGTATACATAGAATACAGATTTGTCTAGTGCTAAGCGTATTTATGAAGCGATTGGGATAGCCCGGTTATGCATTTGTCGCAACAATGTATGGCTTATTAATAATGGTGGAACGTTAGCTCGGTCAACTAATCAAAGGGAATTCATCTAATCTTTTTCAATATTTTCAAGATGACTCAAGCTGGTATCCAGATAGCCCGACCAAATCAAATTTCAGTCTTTCATTACAAATACAACCATAAGAACACGTTAGGCCTATGCAATTGTGTAATTTGTTTTCTCCCCAAGATGAATATCTGAATTAATTGTTCACAACAGAGTGTGAAAACATGTACCGTGCTAATTTCATGAAATCATGGTACTGAACGATAATTCTATCACACAGCTATGGTACAGAATTGTGGTTAGAACCATGATAACCATGGAATGTGAGCTTTGCAACCATCAAAGTACCATGGTAAATTTAAGGGAGTTCTACGGTTTCCATGATACATTTTTCTATATAAACATGGTACTACTAATAAGCTAATAATAGGGCCATTTACGTGTTTCCTTTTCTGCTAGCCATCGGAAGCTGATGTTGTCATCAGCTCGTTTGATGCATGCCTCTAGTATCTTTAGCAGAGCAATGTGTTTCTTAGAATCCATCCCGTGGTTTACATTTGTGTAGTTCTCTATGAAGAACACACTGCGCTTCTCTATACCGGCCCCGGTGATGTCTCCAAGGATCTCTTCGCGGTTAGAGATACTGTCGGCGAAAGTCACCACCATAATAGGATATCCACCTGTATAATGATGAAAACGATTATGATGATGACGAGGACGACGACGTCGACGATGTTTATAATATTAACAATAGTGATAATGAAAATGCAAATAATAACAAAAACATCAACAATGATACAAATATTAATAAAAACAATAGTAATATACACAATGATTATACTGATAATTATGTCATAAAGACGTTAAATTGTAATATGTATACAATGATATTTCCTAACGAGCATCCTATTGGCTTGATAGGTGTCACGTGACACTCAAATATTCGTTATGTGTCAGTGGCGTACCTGGGGTACTCCGTCAGGGGGGGCAAGCGACCGAAACAAACAAAAAAGGCGATGCTAATTTTCACTTCTGGCGAGCGAGCGAGCAAAAAAAATTCTTTAAGTAACGTTTGGTATATAAACTGGTATTGTTGCAAGTTGGGGGTGGGAACATTCACTTGTTAGCGACGTTAATTTCATTTTTTTTGCAAACTAGTGTAGCGAGCAAGAAAAAAAATCACTTCTTTTTTAATAATTGCCACTTAAACTTGGTTCAATTGTCCCATGCAGGGCGCGGGAACAATATTGTGTTTAGGGTGATTTTATACCCATTTTAGCTAGCGAGCGAAAATACATCTTTTTCTCAATGAATTGCTATATAAAATTTGTTTCATTGTTGCAGGTAGGGGTGGGCACAATCGTGTTTAAGGCAATGTCAATCCCATTTTGGCGGGCAGGCAACCCCCTACATTTCTCTTTTTAATGATATTGTAGCAGGTTAGTGGTGGGCACATAATTCCACGAGCTAGCGAGCGTAGCGAGCGAAAAAAAATCACTTTTCTTTTATAGGGAAAATATGGTACATAAAACTTGGGTTCATTGTTCCATGTCAGGGACGTGATTATTAAAAGCGGTGTTAATTCTATTTTGGCGAGCGAGCGTAGCGAGCGAGCAAAAAAAAATCACTTCTTTTTATAGGGAAAATATGGTATATAAACTTTGCTTTAATTGTTCCATGTCAGGGACGTGATCATTAAAAGCGGTGTTATTTCTATTTTGGCGAGCGAGCGTAGCGAGCGAGCAAAATTTTTGTAATGATAATTGGTTCATAAATTTCAGATGTGTTTGTTGCAGGGCAGGGCTTACACAATTATGTCTACGGTGATGTTAATTCCGTTTTGGCGAGCACGAGCACACCAAAACTTCTTTGAATAACGTTTCGTACATAATTATTAACTGGTTGTTGCAGGTTGGGGCGGGCACGTTAGCGGTGTCAATTCCATTTTGGCGAGCGAGCATAGCGAGCAAGCAAAAAAAATAAATTCTCTTTTAATAGAAATTAATAAATAAACTTGTTTTTATTGGTGCAGGTCAGGATGGACGCAATCGCGTCTAACGCGATTCAATTCCTTTTTGGCGAGAGGGCGAAAAAACTCTTCCATTTTTAATGATATTGTTGCAGGTCAAGGGTGGGCACAATTGTTTCCAAAGCAATGTCTATTCATTTTATTCGCGAGCGAGTGTAGCGAGCGAGAAAAATGAATTAGTCTCTTTTAGTAACATTTGGTACATATATTGTGTGTTATTGTTGCCATGGTTGCAGGTCGGGGCCCGTCGGGGCAGGCACAATTGTATTCTAGGCAATACTAATCCTTTTCTTTTTTCAGGGGGACGAGGAAGTGAAAACATTTAATACAAAATAGGCTAGCAAGCAGTTCGCGCCAGCGAAGAGTTTCAAATTTGTTATATCACTTATATTTTCCTATTTTCATTTGTTTTAATTTTTCAGGGCCGTATGCGGAATATTTTTCTGATGGGGGAAGGGGGAAAGATGCGTTAAAAGTTTTCGAAGAATCTCAAAAGCAAAAGGAGTGAAGGGAGTTCGAGCGACCGAACTGGTCATGAGGGTACTTTTGCATTTTCAAAAGTAGAATTGAAGGATTTGGTATAGGCCTACACTACATTTTCAGGAAAAAAACTGTACGATTTCAAAATATCTGGGGTCAACTGCCCCCCCCCCCCCCCGGTGCTTACGGCCATGTTCTTTATTTTTTTCCCCATTTTTATTCCTTTCCTTTTCTTTTCCCTTTTTCTTCCTTTTCTCTTCTTCTTCCTTTTTTCTTTCCTTTTTTTCCTTTTTTCTCTTTCTTTCCTTTTTTCTTTCCTTTTCCTTTTTTCTTTTTCTTTCCTTTCCCTTTCTTTTCTTTTCTTTCCCCTTTTTCTTTTTTCCCCCTGGAGCCCGTCAGGGGGGGCACTCTGCCCCCCTGCCCCCCCCATAGGTACGCCAGTGTTATGTGTGCACGAACGTGCAATATCGCAAATACCCTCAATTATATATTACAAAGATTTCGTGCATCGTTGTTCAATATAACATAGGGTAGGTGTAGGGAATTGGAGACCACCAAGCTAGAACCCATCACTGTCTGTCCGTGTTGGCTCCAATAGTGCTCTAGCGCCATTTGTGGCCTTTAACAACACTACTGCATATATCCAATTCATTTCGAAGACTACAATGCGTTCTTTCTTCGAGAAAATTGGCAAAATTGACCAAGATAACCAATTTTGATCTTAAAATTTTGCTCTGATATAAAAAACACAATTTTCACTGAATGTTGTGGTGTATCCAAATATTTAGGGGTGGCTCTTAAAGTTCGTTCTAAAAGGAAGTTTATGTAGTGTGCCAACCATCACAGAAACCTTATGGCCATTGTGTGTTGTGAATGGGTGTTGCAATGCACATTATGGATGGTGTCTGATCAGAAATGAGTATAGGCAATGGGGGACACCAGGTCCAAGATGGGGCCTACTTTCACCCAGTTGTTCATTTCATGTTGAAAGGCACTATCATGAAACATATTTGATTGTTCTGTTACCATTCTAATTTTAATGCATTTCATTTAAAGAAGTTGTTTCTATGCTGTGAGTTGGATCAATGTAAAAGTCACATTGCTAGAACATTATTCTGAAAGTATTTAAACATAATTTAAAGCACATTTATTACTTTAAACAAAAACCTACAGCTATATTTTGGGTCACATTGTTTTAAAATCGTTTAAAAATTACAGTAAGTTCATTGACTGAATGTATTTATTTCAAAAAGTGTTTGAACCAACTATAACAATCCCATTTTCATTCAAATTGTATTTAAAATGTTTTGATTTGTTTCTGTCCCTTATTATCTACACATGTATGTAATGAGAGACCTTTGGTGATGACTTCTTTAATCATTATTATCTTAATAATCAGTTACATCATGACCACAATTTTGGTACCACTAGAGAAGAAGTTACTAAAGATAATACAAAACGTTTGGTATGTGTCACATTTTTCATGTTTATGTAAATTATGCAAATGTGCTTCAGGGTCTCCAATTCCCTACACCTACCCTATATTCACCTCCTAATTCAGAATCCTCCTCGAGCCATTATATTTATTTCAACCTCGGCCTACAGCATCGGTGAAATATATCATCACTCAGGAATTCCTGAATTTGTCGTTTCATTCTAGTATTTGAATTTGAAAGCCGGATATGTAATATTTGTATAATGTGAAATATGCTGGTTGTTATTATATATTATTATAAACCTCTCTTTAGAAATCTAGCCATCTGATGGGTCGAAGTCTGATTTGAGCCATTCCCGTAAAGAAACGAACAATGCCAGTAATGGTCAATAGTTCATGAGTGAGATTCACGCAAAATTCCAGGTACCGGGAAACTACTTAGATTTTGCTGCGATCCCATTGGTTTACGTGTAAAAATTGGTATTGTGCGAGCGCGGATGCCATACAGTGCTTTTTGTCTGCGATTCCCAAATTATTGTAACGTTCAGTCATCTTTCCATCAAAGATTAACAGACAGTGTCTCAGATTTTTCGTGATGTTTTAACCGATCTTTGCTTAAGAAAAGGATAAGGTAAGAATTCCTGGTAAATTTGTGTGTCAATTCGGTATATAAAAGACATATCGACTACTTTAATATTCGAGGCCTTGATGTTGGCTCTCGGGGACGACCCAGGCGCGCCGAGGGGTCACGGCAGGATGTGCACACGGCAGTCGACACCTCTATTCTCTTACTGTTATTATCATTATGCGGTTTCCATGATATAACTATTTTTATAATTGATTTCACTTACAAAGGTGTTTCCTGACTTCAGGAACAAGTGACTCTAGAAATTCAGTGCAGTGTTTTGTTCCCGTAGCTCGGCTAATTAATAGACACAAACAAACAAACAGTCAGTCAGTAAAAAATAAAAAATAAATCAGAGAGAAAAAATGAGGTATCTAACTATTGAAATAGGTTTATCTTTTGACCCTCTTCACCATGATCCTACTACAAATACTACTAGATTACTGCGGCCACTACACTTATTATGAATCACCTTTAAACCTTAAAATCATTATCATCAAAACCATTGTAATTTTCATTACTGCATTATTCGATATCATGTTATTCTACAAAAAGGGATTTCATCAAAAATGAATAAATATAATTTAATAGGGTGATAATGATACATTACTTTATGAAATAAACTTTTGAAATGAGAGAAGTAGAATGTTGATGATGAATACAACTACCTAAACAGTGTAATGCAAGAAAGTTAGTTCTTGTTGTTCCCCCTCTTTTCTTAATATATAAAACAAATTTGTTCGTTTAAAGCTACTATGCCACCCCCCTCCCCCTGTTTATATCGAGTTAAGGATTGCTGATAGGGATGCTGGGTATGAGTCTACATCGAGTTAAAGGGTTTGGGTAACTTTGTCACCGCTTCTGAAACTAAATCCTGGATTTAGCTCATGCTACAATGATTATTATAAACCTTAAGTTCAGTCAGAAACCCCTTGACTTTTACAAGCCGATCGCCTGTCTGATTATCAAGATATTTATGATTGGAAATCGAAATTAAAAAATACGTTTTCCTAATACTACAGTCTATTGAGGAAAATGAGTAAACCGGTCACTCAAAGATTTTTTACTTTTTTTGATGCACTTCATGATCATTTTAAAGCCCAATTTTTTTTTAGGGCTTCAATATTACACCAGACACAGACACTGATAACACGTAGGGCCAAGCATCTCATATTTAACATAGTTAAATGATGCCTTTACGGGTTGCTGACTATGGGTCTACATCTTTAACATCGCATTGATCAGTAATCTATTTATCCAAATCTGTAAAATGTACAGTTTCATTTTTTATTAGACAAGAGTAGAAAGAACTAACCTTTTCCAATTGCTTTCAAACAGTTTCTGTAACAAATTTACTCGCTTGACTAAAGCTCACCTTTAAGGGGTGTTGAGAACGTTTTTTTTTTTTTTACTATCGTTACCTGTATTTCAGAATAAGAATGGGACAGTCAATCTTCTCTCCAGGAGCATGAGAACGGGTGTTGAGTCCTCGTTTACCAGCTATAGAAATGGGTCATTTAAAACGAGAACACAAGAAGAGAAACAAGAGTTTAAGAAAAAGAAAAAGAATTGCCTTGTTACATGTGACACGACCAACCGCGCAAATGCAACAAAACACAACTTACATAAATAATGAAATAAACAATTAAAAGAATTATTTAAACAAAAGATAGAACATTCTCACCCGTTCAAAATAAGATGGCACTGGTGGGCGTTTCATGAAACTATTAGTCGGTGGTTTTCATCGAATAATATCATGTTCACCGACAATTCTTTTGTCACCGACTATTTTCCAGGCCTGTGATTGGTCAAATTTAGTCAGCGCTGCCTAAATTGTCGGTGAACATGATATTAGTCGGTGAAAACCACCGACTAATTGTTTCATGAAACGCCCCCCTTGGAGTATGTGGGAAAAATAATGACATAACAAATTGCTCTTTGAATGTCCTAGTAATAGCCCTAGACGTTTGGTACAATGCGCGCACGCGTGTAAAAAAAAAAAAATATATGCAAGCTTGCGCAAGCTCGCAAACTTATCTATATATTTTCCTGCAGCTTTTTCCTAAGTTAATTTTACCTCTGTTATGCAAAATATACACTGTCTTAAAGAGGGTCTGGTTAAAACTATGCGCAAGAGGTGTCTCCAAGTGCCAAATGGTACTTTTGGAGTCACCGAGTTTTAACCAGTACCTAGAATAGAAGGCATGGTATATTTGTTTTATAATCCTGCATCGAAAAATAATTGATAAAAAATGAATATTTATATAAATTTTGGGGGAAGAAATAGAATTTAGAATATAATTTTTTTTCTTCATTTTTTATCAAAAAAGATTTAAAATATCTTGTTTTCATTTAATCAAGATTTGAAGGAAAAAAATCGATTACAAAAAAATTAACACTTTTTTTCCAGCTCACAAATAGTACTCCCAAATAGTACTTCCATTCCCAAAAAATACTCTCATATAGTACTTTTTCAGAGCAACCTTAAAATGGTCGAAATATTTATGGTCACGTGACGAGCTCTCAACCAATCAAAAACCAATAATTTTGATTGCATGATGTATTTCCTATTAAAGCATGTTGACAGCCTTTTTCAAAGGTATAATGTATAACAATAATACAGAGTTTAATCTATAGTGTAGGTGTAGGGAATTGGAGACCGTAGGGAAGTGGAGACCACCAAGTTTGAACTCATCCCTGTCTGTCCGTGTTGGCTTCAATATTGCTATAGAGCCATCTGTGGCCTTTAACTCATAGCCTGTCATAAGCTGCATGCACGCTTTTGTTAAAGTGCTTTGTGCACGCGAGCAAGCTAGTGTTCCTCTGCTTCTTGCATGTTTGCACGCATTCGTAAAAGCAGTAATTGTTCATGCCCATTGGACTGTGCCTAGTGTTTTGCACGCCCTATTGGTAGTACCATCGCGTTAATCCGATTATCTCGTTATAAAGTTGGCACTGGGGGGATTTGTGGCTTGGCACAATGGGGGATTAGCCCTGTGGCAGGATAAGAGTTAACAACACTACTGCATATATCCAATTCATTTCGAAGACTACAATGCGTTCTTTCTCCGAGAAAATTGGCAAAATTGACCAAGGTAAGCAATTTTGATCGTAAAATTTTAATAATAAAAAAACACAATTTTCACTGAATGTTGTGGTGTATGCAGATAGCTAGAGGGGGATCTTAAAAAAGTAGTTTCAAATGAAGTTTATGAAGTGTGCCAACTATCACAGAAAAGTTATGGCCATTGTGTGTTGTGAATGGGTGTTGTAATGCACATTATGAATGGTGTCTGATCAGAAATGTGTGCAGGCAATGGGGGACAACAGGTCCAAGATGGGGGTCGTTTGTTGTAAAGTGTCGAGTATGCCGAGGACAGTCAATGACCCGATGCTGGTTGGTTAATTGTCCATGTAAAGAAATATTTTGGGCAACATTTGATTTATTTATTTCTGTTCGATTTTCTTTTTCTTTTCCATTTTTACAAATATATAACAAACAAAACATTGCAAATTTTACACATTTCAAAAGAATATCAGGTCGAAAAAAGTAACTAATCGAAAACATCAAACAGGAGGGTTGACAAAGTAAGCAAAGCTTGATAGCATAACTATCCTCAATGGAAACATAATAATACGAATATGGTGGAACAAATTTTGGTAAAAGGGGAAAGAGAGAGAGAGAGAGAGAGAAAGAAAAAAAAAAGAGGGGGTGTACATCAAGATTCACAGATATATGTGGTACAATGTAGTTGGATTTCAATTTGATATATGAAGATAAAAAAGAAGATGCACATTTGAAAATTGGGTGGCCAACTTGGGATATATCATATAATGAGAAGACGCGGTTTCTGGACAATATGAATAGAAATGTGAGATCAGCGAGCTGGTTTATATAGACTGTAAACCTTTGTTTGTATACAAAACAGGTTTTAAGAGTGTCCCAAGTAGGCCACATTGTTTTAAAATAGTTTTAAAATCACAGTAAGTTCATTGGCTGCATGTATCACTTTCAAAAAGTGTTTTATTACCTACACATGTAGGTAATGAGAGACCTTTGGTGATGACGTCATTAATCATTGTTATCTTATTACTCAGTTACATCATGACCGCAATTTTGTTACCAAATAAAAAGAAGAAGTTACTGAAGAGAATACAAAACTTTCAGCTTGTGTAACATTTTTCACGTTTATTATGCAAGTGTACCTAAGGGTCTCCAATTCACTACCCCTACCCTATTTTATTATTATTATTATTATTGGTGTATTATATGACCATACAATGTTCATTTATTTTAGACTTCATTGGCGAAAAATTAAAATGTTATGAAATAATTATAGACCAATTAAATTGTGCTTTTGTCCTGTATGTTGACAGTGAACAAAATTGGTCATAGATGGGGTCCATAGCATCTGACATATACTAAATACACTATATTATGCAAATAAGATTATGCAAATAATCGAACAACAGTTTAAAGATAAACTTGAATTCTTTAAAAAAAAAAAAAGGAATTCTCACAGAATCAAACGAAATGTTCACGGAATGTTCAAGATTAAAAATAAATGTCATTTGCCGAACAATTTTGGTAGCAAATGTATACTGGCTGAGTAATGAGCATAGAAAGATAAGGAAATCAAGGTAAGTAGGCCGGACACCTCTTGTGTAGTCCCATATACATCTTACTGTGTACAGTGTTTGTTACTTTACCAAGACTGGGCCAAATTTATTATTTTTTGATGACTCCAGAACCTTGCAGTACTCACCAATACTTACATGCTACATGATCATTTTTTACTGATCCTTTCCACACCCTTTCCCTCATAATGCAATCGCATGACCAGAACTCAACTGTATCTTTAATACAATATTTAAAAAGCTATAGCAGTTTGTATTAAAAATACTGTAATGTAACAAACTGAACAATAGTCAATAAGTGTCACTCATCTGATTTATGTGTTATGTTCATGTTGTGTACAAAGTTGGCCTGCAAGCTAACAAGACCATATCCTCTTGCCTGTATAATTTTGCGGCAAGCTTGCAAGAGCTTTAGAATGTGCATCTGCAAACTTGCAGGGCATATCCTTTTTGCCTGCAAGATTGCAAGAGCCTTAGTTTGTGCCCCTGCAAGTTTTACAAGCTTGCTGCTAGCTTGCAGGGCATACACTGTCAGCCTGCAAGACTGCCAGGGCTTTAGATTGCGCTCTTGTAAGCTTGCAGGGCATATCTTCATTGCCTGCAAGTTTACAAGGGCTTTAGTTTACACCACCGTAAGCTTGCAGAGCATACACTGTTGGTATGCATGATTGTTGTGAGATTGCGTACAACAATAAATTTGCAATGCAAGCTTATCAAGATTGCCGCAAGTTTGTAACAAGCTTGCTGCAGCCTTAGGATTCTATAAGGGTAATCAAGTTAGGGCCTGGGCTCCGGCAGGGCTATGGTACTCATCTGCGTCTTTTACATCAAACTGCCTAATCACATCATAATTCAAATTTGATCATCATCATGAATGTTATTCATAAAATCATCGATTGAATTTAAAGCTGGATTTAAAGTTACACCATAAAATAATTTCTGAATTTCTGAATAATAATTTTGTTCATACTCTTATCATCCAAACTGATGAAATATTGTTCTTTAGTGGCCAAATAATACGAATTACGTGTATCTGAAATGTCATTATTCTACCCCTTTTCGTTAAAAAATACAATTTAATTCCAGCTCATCTCATAATGATTTGACAAAAAAAACTGGTCTTGCTAGGAGGCGTCTTTCTTTGCGCCTGTAAAATGAAAATAAAAATAGTATGGTATGGTCTACGTCTTGGCCAAATCTGGTGCTTTTAGAACTACCTGAACCACGATATCCCTTTCATCCCCAAATATAAACTCCCGTGCGCGAATTCAGGTGTCGTTTTGTGATTTTTTCCCAGTTGCAGCGCATTTCGATCCGACTTCGAATTTTTGAGATCGAGATATTCCGGAATTCTTCGACGATAAATTTTCTAGATGCACCAATTTGTATTAAAAACAATTTCAGTTCCTTGGTTAAAGTTCAACCAATTAAATTTGTGTAGAATAGTAGAAATTATGGTTCGAATATTCTTCTTTTGTGTTGGGGCGGCGGCTTACAGTGGTCCATCTGAAACAGCATTAAAAGAAAAACGTGTAATACTTACTGATTTCAGCTATGACATCTTCAACTTTTTTTTCGGATAAATCGATTAGTCCACGTGTATCGTATGTAGTTACGTCATTACTTAGTCTGGCGGGGTCTCGAAACATAGTCTCGCCTCCGGCTGACGCATTTCCTTTCTCAATGTAGATTTCTTCCCAGCTACCTAAACATTAAAACGACAAACTGAATAAATGATATTGGATCCCAACATTTATTTTCATATTGTAAATATGAGAGCATTTGAAGAAGAATCCTATATTCACATGTTCAAAGTATTTGTTTCACCTTTACCCTTAACGTAATCTTCACTTGAAAGTTACTATGTCCTATTTGCAGCCAACAGCAAATTCTGTAGAACTTTGCAGGAAGTATGAATATGTCATGTATGTCTTATTTGTGAAATTTAAACATTTGCATTGTCCTAGTATTCAAATTATGCAAGGAAACTCGTATAACCTCCAAGACCTCATTGTCAGACAGAGTGACTGACTGATATTTGACAGATACATGAGTATTTGTCAACATCAATTACCCACAAATTGTAAGGCCACACTTAAACTGATCGAATCTTTATGGAGCACAAAACGTACGACCGTTAGGTAGAAGGGTCTTAAAATCTGACCATTGATTGGGTAATTGCAATCACTTACGTCGATTCGACAACTAATGGTCGTTATTATTCCACTAAAAATCATTTTAAAACCATTTCCTTTTTTGGGGGAAGTTATAAATTATATAGTATTGTCTTTCAAATGACGTTGGAATTAAAACCTTTATTTTGTTGGCCTGCAAATGGGACATACATGTAGTACCTTTAACTATTTACATGCCATGAAAATTATCTCTTTGTCCCTCGAGGCATTTATCACGTAGTAGTCAAACTAAGGGGTTCGAGAGCATTCAAACGTCTCTATTGTAAAATATATAAATACATGTGTTGAAGACTTTGTCATGTACCTAGTCGAAAACGAATAGTTTTGAATTTTGAATAGCTTCTCTGTTCCACAAGCAATCCATTTTTTTATGTTTTGCCGATCTGTGCGGACCGTGCCAAACGTTACTTAGACAAAGGAAAGGGTTAATCAATTACCACTTCACTACCATGTACCTTTGAATGCAAAGTGAAGAGAGTTGAGAAAGCTACTCTTTCCGGAATCCTGAACACCGAAGACACCTAATCGAACCCTAGAAGGTCTTTGGAATCCATCACCTGCATCTCGGGTAGTCCATTGATTAGGTTTGTAGTCTCGGATCTTCTCACGAAGCCGTCGAATTCGACCTGACGTTTTGATGATTGAAAGTTGACACGGATGTCACAGTTTGGATAAGAAATTGAGCACGACGTATAATAGCAATGAATATAAATTATTCAATCATATCACTTTGAGCTTTCTCTTTCTTTCCACTTTCCCACTGACTCTCTCTCTCTCTCTCTCTCCCTCTCTCCATGTCTCCCCTCTCTCTCTCTCTCTCTCTTTCTTTCTTTCTACTTTGGTATTTCTTGATATATATCAAGAAATCAAAGTATATATATCTTAATAAACGAGCTTGAAAGATTCTCTTAAAACCCTTCTAAAACCTCAAGTGTCCCTAGCTTACACGTACATGTTTCTGGATATGCGTTGAAATCAAATGATATGAATCAGTTTGTTCGTCTTTCAATATATTTGATGCCGCTGTTATTTTGTATGCATTCCAGTAATTTAACATAAATCTTGAAATGCCTAAACACAATATTTTATTATCATTCTTTATTTGACCAAACGTAAAATGCACATATACAACATAATTGCAAGAGGCAAATACATACTAAAAAAATAAAAGGACAAAAGAAGTGAGAGCAGCAAATTGATGATTCTGCATAAAAGAGGACGCAAAGGAAAAATTATAGGTTTCTTCGCCCCCCTCTCTATCTCTCTCTCTCTTTCTTTCTTTCTGTTTCCCTCTCTATCCCCTCCCCCTCCTTCTAAATATGTACTACCCGCGGTGTTCACCCATCACTTCTATCTTCTCTATGATTGGTTGATTGATTGATTGATTTATTCATTTCATATAACAATTGTTCGCACAATAAAGAATATAGTTGACAAAGTAAGATCAAAATTATGAAATGAAACAGGAACCTACTGGAAAGCATAGCTTGTTTTTGTAGGTTCCCAGGAATAAATATAATATGAACATTATTATCATAAATCATTTTAAAGTGTCTTAATAATCACAGTAAAATAGATATAATATAAAACATATTTTCGTAAACCATGTTAAAGTATCTAAATTCTCTTTATCTATTCAGCACATAATGTTTTTGTACATGCTTTCGTTAGTTCTATTCAATATAAAGAGTATGTACAGTAATGGCCAAGAATTGGCATGAAAGATGTGATACTTACCTTGGTGAATTTTGGACCACACCAGTCGAAGGAGGAACAGTATCACGGCAAAAATGATTATTCCCCAAAACAAAGTTACCCATCCTGAAAACACATACAAATAACAAGAGGGTTTTTGTTCATTTATTCGTATATCCTAAACCTTTTAGGAAGACAAGTATGAAGAGCAGAAGAAGAACAAGAAAAGGAAGAGGAGGATGAGATGGAAAAGAAGACGAAGAGAACAGACAGACAAACAAAAAGCTTAGATGGATAACAAACGGGGGGTAGGTGGGAAATTGGCTGATCCGAGAAAGACAAAACTATAACAAATATGCACTACATAACTTAGCAAAAAATGTACATTTGACTCTTTCATTAAAGTGGTTGATCCACGGGAGGGCATATGTCCCTTTAAAGATAAATTATAATAGATAAAGCTGAGCAATGTACCCCCCAATTGCACCCTTCCAGGCCGCAACCATTGTGACAAAGCTTGGCAACGGGAATATAAATAAATATGAGCCTATTTTCTTTTACTGTTATTAGTCTGAATTATTTTGCTATCAAAGGGCTGTTAAGGCCATGGGTCAAATCGAATTAAAACTTACGAATGTTGATTTAAACGTACATGTACATACCGATCTAAACACGCACGCACACACCCCAAACAAACATATGCAAACATACTATGATGATAATTTGATGATGTTGGTTATTATAATACGTCAACTATTACTGCTACTACTAACTATACAAATAGTGATAATAACACGAAGAAGAAGAACAAAAAAGAAAAAATGAAGAGGAAGAAGACTGAGGAGAAAAAGATGGAGAAGAAGAAGAAAAAGAAAAGAAGAAGGAGGAAGAGAATACGAAGAAGATGGAGAAGAAGAAGAAGAGGAAGAAGGAGGAGGAATAGAAGACGAAAACGATGGAGAAGAGGAAAGAAAAAATGTGGAGGACAAGAAGGTGTATGAGCGGGAAAAGTAGATTACTTACCCATTAAATAGGAGCCTAGCATGATTAGCCCGATCGCCCAATCCAGCCAATTCCAGATAAATTCTTCTATCTTTTCCTTCATATCTGATGACGCTTATGAAGTTTCAGGAGAACACGTTCCTGTAACGTTAAGCTCCACTTGAGAAAAGCAGAATAGACCTATCTATAAGCTATGTGTTGGTGAGTAACCCCCGTCAACAAATGAATATCGTACTTATCTGGTTCTAGCTATCCGATTGGGGATTCCCCGTAGCCCATTGCCCAATGGCTGCTGCTCTTCGACCTGCCAAGGGACTGATTTCCGGTACTTTGACGTGAGACGAGTGTCTTATTGTTGCATTCCAACATATTTTAACAAATTTAGTTTGATCAGTTATGATCTTCTTCGAAACATAAAATACCTTGCCCATTTCAAATATTTGCACTTTCTAGATAGGCCTATATGTGGAATAATCATTCCATATCCACAATGCAGCAGCTGTATGCCTACTTTTTTACACACACACACACACACACGCAAGTCATTCAAGTATGTCTAGAGATCCAGGTTGGGGATTCCCCGCTTTGTGGCAATCAATGCTTCTACCTCAGCAATATGCATTAAGATACGAAATGCTCGTATCGAGACTTTGAGTTTGTAATTCATTTTTTTTTAAATCTATGCCAGCTTTAATGACCTTATTTTCAAACGAGGATTTTAATATAAATCTCGATTTCGAAGAATATATGCCAACCCTGTTAATAATTTAGTTTAAAGAGATAATAATGGTAGGCAGGGGCGGCGATTTTTTTTTCTTCTCATGACCGCGGGGGGGGGGGGGTGGCGAAATGCGAGAGACGAGGGAGCATAGTGTAAAGTGTGCTTACTCGATACCAACGGAATACAGATTTTCTTCAATATTTGCTTGTATATTTTGAAGGATGTTATGCGAGGGAGCGTAGCAAGCGAGCGAGAAGATTGTTGCAATTTTATTAGTCTAAACGCTGCACTCTTGGGCCCTCCAGAGCCAAAAAAAGTGTGTTGCATTATTTAGCCAGTATTTGGTAGACATTTTTGGGGACACTTTTTTTAATTTTAAGGGGGGGCGATCTCCCCTTAACAAATTGAGAGGGGCGTGTCCCCCGTCCCCCCCCCCCCCCGGGATCGCCGCTCCTAATGGTAGTATGTGCAGTTGGTCATAATTTATGCACCTTCTGCTCATGTACAATTTGTAATGCAGAGCATTCTGGATCAAAAGATTAAATCAAAACGTCTCTAAAAGGTGCAACTAAACGGCTGTGGGTTTAGGTCAATGTAACAAACTTAACAATTTCACACCGCTTTAAAGTCTGCCGGTGTAAATTTGTTACACCAGTAGATTATACAATTGTGACTCTAAAATGACACTAAAAGAACACAATCAAAACGGTCAGGTTTAGAAAGATCACGCTGAGGTTATTTGTAGTCTACCTCTTTTATACACAGGAACAAAGTAACATGCATTTGTGTATTATACACTATTTTGTGTATGAAAACTGATGAATTTACTGAAAATGCAATGAGTATACTATAAAATATCGACAGATAGCACTAATTAGAAACATAAATAGTACCTTTTATAATTATCATTATTAAAATCACCTCCTATTGTAGTCCTTCTTGATTTGGCAAGAACTATTTATATTTTCCACTCTTTTATAGTTGAAAACATGAATAACTGATGAAAGAGTTTGAATGAACATGACAAAATTAATGCAGGGCATTCTGGATCACAAGATTAAATCAAAACGTTTCTAAAAGGTGAAAATAAACTGCTGTGGGTTTAGTTCAATGTAACAAACTTAACAATTCCACACCTTTAAGGTATACTACTAGGGTAAATGTGTTACACCGGTAGATTTTAAAATTGTGACTCTAAAATGAAACTAACAGAAAACATTAAAAATGATCAGCTTTAGAAAGACCACATCGAGGGGTTTTCTTTTTCTTCGTCTGTTATACACATCAACGCTTAATAAGGATTTAAGCAAACTGGACTATAACAAACATTTTAACATACATTTGTGTATTATACACTCTTCTGTGTTGACAGATAACACTGATTAGAACGATTAATAGTACATGTTATATTATTATTATATACCCCTCCTAGAGTAATTCAAAATTCTCTACACGTCTAAATGAATTATAGTTCCCTTTTTAATTTGGCAACAATCATTTATACTTTCTATTCTTTCAAAGTTTGAAAAATGTAGAAAAATTAACAAGTTTGAATAAACATGGCATTAAAGAATCAAGAGGACATTGCAAATGTATATACGAAATGATAATTATAAATTTCACTCTATGTTGTCAATTGAGAGATCTAAATGATTATTTTTAATTAAATGCTCTTATTCATGAACGACGGAATGTACTCCAACAAAACTGGAATAAAATTTCCCAGTGATTTATGCACCTTCTCAGTGCATGCGTACAATTTAAGATGCAAAGCGTTCCAGATCAAGAGATGAAATTAAAACGTCTCTAAAAGGTAAAACTATATGAAGTACCATGGGTTTAGTTCTATGCAACAACTTCAAAATTGCACACCGCTACTACGTCTTCCGGTGTTACATAGATAACAATTATCCTAACACAAGTCTTGCTTATTTCCAAGCTTTTGCCTCCTTTTGTTTTCCTAATTATTTACTCTACCGATATTTCTGTTTTATCTTCCCGTTCCCCCCCCCCCCCCTAGTTCTGTTGATCCCTTCTTTACATTATCTCGCAAATGCTTTCCAGAGGTGTTTCATTTTCTGTTCGCCATCGGAAGGTGATATTGTCATCAGCTCGTTTGATGCATGCCTCAAGTATCTTCAGCAGAGCAATGTGTGTCTTAGAATCCATTTCGTGGTTTACATCTGTGTAGTTCTCTATGAAGAACACACTGCGCTTCTCCATACCGGCCCTGTTGATGTCTCCAAGGATCTCGTCGCGGTTAGAGATACCGTTGGCAAACGTCACCACCATGATAGGATATCCACCTGTATCATTAAGAAAATAATTTTGATGATGACGACGACGGCGACGACGATGATAATAACAATCACAATAATATTAATGACAAAAGAATGATAACAAAATGATTAATCTATTAATAATAACAATAGTAATAAACAAAATGATGATAATGATAATTATTTTGTCATTTCATAGGTATTATCAACTTTATTGCTGTCGTTCCAAATAACATTTCAATAGAATTGTGAATTTTTTTATTACCATTTTTATTATTATTATCGTCGTAATTTAAATTTGAACGCTGGAGCATGCAAAATTTGTATCCTGTGAAATGCGCTATATACAGGAATTAGTTGTTATAATAATTATTATTGATATTATTATTATACGGTTACCATGATATAAATATTCTTATAATTGATTTCACTTATAATTGATTTCACTTACCAAGCTGTTTCCTGACTTCGGGAACAAGTGACCCAAGAAAATCAGTGCAGTGTCGTGTTCCCGTAGCTGAGCTAATTAATATATACAAACAAACAATTATTCAGTCTTTCTAACAAACAAAATTCAGTGAGATAAAATGAGGTATTTAATTATCCAAATAGGTTTATCTTTTGCTCCTCCTCACCATGATCCTACTACAATACTACTAGATTAGGGCGGCCACTACAATTATAATTAATCCCCTTTAAACCTTGACATCATTATCATCATAACCATTGTCATTTTTATTACTGTAATTTTCAATATCGTATTATTCTACAATCAGTCATTCCATCAAACATGAATAATTATATACAGCTATATTTTATGTTGATAATGATCCTTTTTTTTTAAATGCAATAAACCTTTAAAATCAGAGAAGGAGAATGATGATGATAAATACATCAACCTGATCAATGGAAATCAAGAAAGTTTGCTTTTATGGTTTCCCTTCTCTTTGTTGGTATCTAAAACATATTTTTGTTCGTTTAAAGTTATAATGCCATTTTCCCCAGTCTACATTGAGTTAAGGATTGCTGATTATTAGTTTAAATCGAGTTAAGGGCTGATGATTATGGGTCTACATCGTGTTAAGGGTTGCTGATTATGAGTTTAAATCGAGTTAAGGGTTGCTGGTTATGGGTTTACATCGAGTTAAGGGTTGCTGATCATGAGTCTACATCGAGTTAAGGGTGGCTGATTATGAGTTTAAATCGAGTTAAGGGTTGCTGATTATGAGTTTAAATCGAGTTAAGGGTTGATGATTATGGGTCTACATCGAGTTTAATAAGGTTTGCTGATTATGAGTTTAAATCGAGTTAAGGGTTGCAGATTATGAGTCTACATCGAGTTAAGGGTTGTTGATTATGAGTCTACATCGAGTTAAGGGCTGCTGATTATTGGTCTACATCGAGTTAAAGCTTATCTGCCATAGTTTACAGGAGGTAATAGACCGCACTGCAAGGTCACTGGACAGGTGATTATCTCATCAACTCAGCTCTCAGTTAGCATAAGAAAAAGAGGATCATGAGGGACCAATGGTCAACGATTAGGCATTGTTTGTTATATAGAGGGAGCAAGTAGCAGCCAGGAGTGCAGTGGGCCTTTAAGGGTTGCTGATTATGAGTCTACTTCGAGTTAAGGATTGCTGATTATGAGTCTACATCGAGTTAAGGGTTGCTGATTATGAGTCTACATCGAGTTAAGGGTTGCTGATTATGAGTCTATAACGAGTTAAGGGCTGCTTATTATATTAAGGGTCGCTGATTATGAGTGTATATTGCGTTAAGGGCTGCTCATTTTTAATTTTGTCTTTCAGGGAGAGGGGAGTATTTGAGTCTCTAGGGGCTACTATTTAAAATATTTAATATACTATTTATCGATCAGTAATATATGTACTCAAATTAGTAAACAGTACAGATCTAATCTATTCAAGTTAGTTGGAAGTCAAGAGTAGAAACAGGTAACTTTTCCCCGATTGTTTTCAAAAACAATCTTTAAATAATGTAATCGCTTGACCAAAGCTCAACTTTATATGATTATATATTCAGAATTGTTTTTACTATCGTTACCTGTATCTCAGGATGAAAATGGGACAGTCAACCTTCTCGCCTTTAGTCCAAGAACGAGTGTTGATTCCTCGTTTACCAGCTATAGATATGGGTAATTTTGCGAGAAAGAAAAAAATAGAAACAAGAGTCAAAGAAAGAAAAAATGACTGCCTTGTTACTCGTGCATGATAAACTACATTAAAGCAACAAAACAAACAAAAATAATAAAATACAAGTATTGAAATTCAAATTCAAAAGAATGAAAACAAGATAGAAACATTCACACCAAGACAGCATAAGATGGCTTCAGTTTGAATTTGTTAATTTAATACTGTACAATATACACTTCAAATCGAATTAATGTTAATCGATACAAATATTACTATCGATGATAGTTAGAAAAATTATGATATTAATAATGATAATATTAATAATTATAATGATGAAAATAACAATGATAATATTAATAATTATAATATAAATACAAATACTGATAATAATAATAATGGATATTAATGAAAAAATTAAAGGAAGCAATTGAAAAAGAAGGATACTGGCACCAGTAAAATGTCATTTGAAGTAATGAATTACTGAAAATATTCTTGATATCAATTTACAAATTTGATATAAGACACACACAAAAAAGATACAAACAATATTGAACTCATCACATAGTATATGCACATACCTAAATGAATGTAAGACTAAGCATTATCATTTGACATCATTTTACTAAGGTTAAACGTGTTTGCGCATTTGGAGTTAAAATAGCTGATACATTTTCAGTGTATTCGGTTTTTTAATAAAATATTTATCGAGTAACAATAACACAATGCGATTATAGTACATACAAGCAGACCAATACTGGGCATGAGAATCTTTCAATCGACGTTCCACAGTTTGTTTGACCCAATTAGATTGAAAAGGTTTTATTGATTGCACTTCGCAGCCAGATGGCTGAATTATGAACAATTTACATTGGTAATAAATTATAATACATACAAATGTGGTTTGACATTTTCACAAAGTATAATATACAGTATATAACAAAATTCATAACAAAGTTTATAACCAATATGACTAAGGCAATAACAGGCAAATTAAGTCACGCTTAAAATATATTTTGTGAGGTGACACAAGAGTGGGTCAAAGGATGAGCAAGCAGGCCCTTTGCTCTTCAATACACGCTCTCATTTCTATACACGCTCCTATTCTCACTCCTGTACACTGGACACTGGACACTCTCATAAACTCTCACAAACACTCACATTTACACTCTTATACACACTCCCATTCACACTCCCATACACTAGTTAACGGTCTGCTCGCTCAACCTTGAACTTCTCTTGTGTCAAAGAGTGTCGGGTATTTCAAAAAAAATAACAACAACAAAACAAGTAAGCTCCTTCCCGACCTTCGTACATTGGGGTAAAATAAGCAAATGAATTAAAAACTTGAACACCATCTGATCTGAATTGTCATGTCATGATTGCTACAAAACCTTATCACTATTCAATGTACATTTTAAAAAGATGTTACAAGTAATTATGGAAGCGTAAGATTTAAAATTTAAAATGCGGAATGTAAAATGTAAAAATGTAAAAATGTAAGTCTAATGAAACAAGATGTCGTTGTCATTGAAACACATCATCAAAACATACCAAACTTGTCTCAAACTTGTCCAAAAGATGCTATGTGTGTTCACAAGACGATTGAAACAAATAAGTCACCAATTGGTGAGCTAAGTCCAATAATATCATTTACTAGTAGAGAGCTCAAACAAACGTGCTGCTGCCTGTTAGGCGCTGCAGTGTGATACAAATTTCCCATAAATTAGACATCCCCATATTGTCCAGAGTCAGCTTGATTTGATAGATATTCTGCTCAAAGAGTAAGTTTAAGATAATATACACCTTCCCAGAAAATTATCTTGTCCACTGTGTACAGTCCTACACCTGAAGTTTATCATTCTGCTTTCGATATATTTCTCAAGGTACAGCCTCCCCAATTCACCAAGTAAATACGCGCAAGGATTTTATTGCACGCACCTGCTATTCATTTACACGTTAATAAAAATACAGCGGATGTTTTCCGGCGGTTTATAGCGGCCCATCTGAGCGAGACTTTAAGGTAATACAAAGTTTTTGGAAATTTTGAAAAAGGTCGGATAGCGATGCTTTAAAATTTTGATATATTTGGATGCCCATGAGGATGTCTTATAAGCACTAGAAAAGTTAGCCCCTAAAACACACAAATTGGATATCAAAATTCACCGGTGCTCCTTGTAAATGTTGATAAATTCAAAACAGCGCCTATACGGTCATCCAATGGTAGCTGCGACCACGAAAGTCTCAGAATAAGCAGTTGTGATAAATAATTTCCAAACGGGAATAGCCAACCGGTCGATTTCAGTCAGCAACATAGTTTTAAAGCTAAATTAATATGTTGACCTTGAAAGGGAACTTTACAACATTAATAGTTTATTATTTACAATTTTATCACTTTAGACTCGATTTCAACCGCGACTACGATCACTAATTATTTTTGGATCGCATATCCAATATCCAATATCCAATATATTCATTTGAACCAAATTCATGACCTCATACCAAAACTTTGTATTACCTTTAAAAGAAAAAAGGTTCAATACTCACTGATCTCAGCTATCACCCCTGGAACTCTATACATGGACAAATCAACTAGTCCACGTGTATCGAATGTAGTTACGTATTCAGTTAGTCTTGCAGGGTCTCGGAATATAGTCTCGCCTCCATCCGACGCCTCACCTTTCTCAACGTAGACTTGTTCCCAGCCACCTAAACATTAACATGACAAATGTGTGCATGAAATTTCTTCCCAACATTTTAGGTAATTCTTGTCATATTTAAATAATAGAGCACTTGAAAAAGTATCCTAACCACATGCTGGTGGGGACCTCTCTTCTACGATATTCTTCCAAACTAACATGAACAGCACCTCCCACCCCTAAAAAAAGGTATCAAAGTTTTTAATTTACATTTACCCTTAAATTAATCTTCACTTTAATTCCTTTACATGCCATGAAAATGATCTTTCTGTCCCACGTGGCATTTATTACGCGGTTGTTAAACTAAGAGATTCGAGAAGATTTAAATGTATCCATTCGAAATAAAGTTATACATTTGTTAAATGCTTAGTCATGTACCTAGTCAAGAGCGAAAATTAGGAATTTTGCATGGCTTTTCTGTTCCACAAAGCTATCAACTTTTTTATGTTTGATATATTTCTCAGTAGTGCCGATCTCCACCGACCGTGCCAATCGTCTCTTAGGCAACGAAAGGGTTAATCAATTAACACTTCAGTTCCCTGTACCTTTGAATGCAAAGTGAAGAGAGTTGAGAAAGCTACTCTTGCCGGAATCCTGGACACCAAAGACACCTAGTCGAACCTTTGAAGGTCTTTGGAATCCTTCACCTGCATCTTTGGCAGTCCATTGACCAGGTCTGTAGTCTCGAATCTTCTCACGGAGCCGTCGGATTTCAGCTGATATTTTTTTATTGGAAGTTGACATGTTGGATGTCAAAGTTTGGATAAGAAAATGAGCGCCATGTAATAAGAGCAATGAATATACATGATTCAATCACATCACTTTGAGCTCCCTTTTCCTTGCCCTTTTCCCACTCACTCTCTCTCTCTTTCTTTCTCTCGATCTCTTTGTTCTACATTGTTTTTTTCTTGAAATATATATTTTAATAAATCGTTTAATCCTCAGAGTATGATTAATTATAGTAACTAACACGAACAGAATACTAGCATGAAAGGTTATCTTAAAATCCTTCCAAACCTCAAGTGCCCCGAGCCCACACTCTCATGTTGCTGGTACCTGGCAGGAATTAATTCCTTGAAATGCTGGAGCGCTGTATAAACGGCTGCTAGGCTAAAGCCAGCGTAATAATAAATGTGCCTCGGAATAGAATTATCTAGACAGATGGCGCTGTAGAAATTCCTATTATTATTATTAATATTATTATTATGCGTTGAAGGCAAATGATATGAATCAATTTCATTTATCAAAATAAAAGTGAAATGCAGCACTGTTGCCTGGAGAAATGTGCACCAGAATTATTATTGTTTGTATTTCTGTTAAAACAACTAAAACAAAACTATAGTAGAGAACATTTGTCATTTGAACCAATTCACCGAGTATTTAAACTAACCTACTGATTCCACCTCACAGGTTTGTTGTATGTTTTTTTAATTCTATGTTCATCCTTTTTTTTTTTTTTTTTGTCTTCCCATTTTTTAGTAAAGGCTCTTTTCCACCATTTTATTGCTCTGAGTATTCGGGCCGTAGGATTGAATGTTTTTGTACATGCTTGCTGTTGTTCTATTTGATATATAAAGTATGTAATGGCAAACAATGGGCTTGAACGATGTGCTACTAACCTGTGTGATTTATGTACCACGCGACTCCGAAGGGAGACAGTAGCACGACAAGTAGGATTGTTCCTCTGAAAACAGTTTCATTCTCTGAAAACACAAACAAATAAAAGAAGGGGGTTTTGTTCATTTATTCGTAGAAGCTAAAAAAAAATAGGTGGACGAGTATGACAACAAAGAGGAGAAGCAGAGGAAAAAGAGGTGTAGGTGGAGGAGGGCGACGAAAACAATACGAAAAACAAACAGACAAACAGACAAAAAGAATCCAAAAGTGGATATACGAGAGAGGAGTTTGTGAAAATATTACTGATCCACGAAATACATCCTTAAACAAATAATCCCTACATTAACTTTAAGCATAAAATGTTAGAGGAGGAAGTTTATATTTGTCTTTTTCATTTCGAACAATCGGTTGATCTAGGGCAGGCCTTCTCTACTAGTTTGTTAGAAGTGTCAAAACGTAATGTAATTAAAGTTGAAGTGCCAACCTGTATGTTTCATGACTGTGCTGCGAGGGAGCGTAGCGCAGGCGCGGATCCAGGATTTCTTAGGGGGGGGGGGCCAAATTTGAAATTATGCGAGCCAAATATTGGTACGTAATGGTGAGACCAGCAGTGACGTAATGCAGGGGGATGTAGGGAGGGGCGAGTTTCCCCCTCCCTCCTCTGCAAAGCGCGGAAGCTATATATGACGTTTAATTAGAGTATTAGAGAAAGAAGGCAATTCGTTTTAACCGTTCTCCACTCTTAATCCTTCTCTTAATTCAGCCCCCCCCCCCCTCCGCGCAGTGCGGAAGCTTTGACGTTTCATTAAACTATTATTGAAAGAAGGCGATTCGTTATAGCGTTCTCGAAAATTATCCTCGTTTGAATGCAATTTTTCCCTCTCGCGCGAAGCGCGGAAACTTTTACGTTTCATTAAATCATTGACGAAAGAAAACGATTCGTTGTACCGTTCTCGACTCTTAATCCTTGTCTTAATTCAGCCCCCCCTCCCGCCCCCCCCCCCCCGTCTCGCACGAAGCGCGGAAGCTTTTACGTTTAATTAAATCATTAGAGATAGAGACGATTCGTCGTACCGTTCTCTATACTCTTAATTCTTGTCTGAATTTCAAAGATGTTTTTTGTCTGCTCCTTTTTCTCCCTACGTCCTCTTCCTTTCCTCTCCTCTCTATTTTTTGTCTATCCCCCTCCCCCCCCCCCCCCCCCCTGGCTACGCGCCTGCGGTCAGATAAACAAATTTTGATACCTTGTCCGACCCGAGAAGCTCGGGGGTTTTAGGCATTTGATTACGGTCAGATGAACATATTTTTATACCTTATTTGTGACACTGGCAGGACACTAATTGGCGTGAGGTCCAGTGGGCGAAGCCCCCGGAAAACAGGGGTTTTAGGCATTACATTTCCGTCAGATTAGCATCCAGGGGAGTCTAGGGCCCTAGGCGGGATGCAAGGGACGGAACCCCGGAAGCTCAGGGGTTTTTAGGCGTTTTATTTCGGTCAGATGAGCAGCTAGTTAACTATTCTTTCTTTCTTGCTCTCTTTATTTCTATTTCTCTTTACTATACATGTTCAACAAAAAGTGGAGGGGGGGGGGGGAGCTCGAGGCTTGCGATTCCAGCCGATCCCCTGGCCCTAACTTTTCTCAAGAATCATATTTCTTGCCTGGCTGTAAATTTAGGAATTTGTCATTTTCCAACGAACGCATACAAAAGTATAATTTACTAAAAACTGAGGAAAAATCTCGGAAAGAATTCAGCATTATTTGTAAGCCACCGTTATGGAATTAGAAATAAACCACGTTTGAATTTGAATTCTTTCCCTTTCTCTCCTCCTTAAGGTTTGCCGAGGGGGGGGGGGGGGGGGTGGGGGGGGTGGGCAAGGGCCTTTCGGCCCCCACCCCGATTCACACGTTGTTGGCGGGATTAACCGGAACTGATCTCCCGTTCTTTTCACCCTTTTGTTTTCTTCTTCCTCTTTTTTGTTCCCTTTTAGCTCTTCTCTTTCCCTTTTCCTTCTTTCTCTCTTTGTTATAGCGGGGGCGGGGGGAGGTAAGGGCCTTTTGCCCCTCCTCGATCCACCGGCGGGAAAATTGCAAATGATATCCCTTTTCTTTTCTTTTCTTCTTTTTCCTTCCCTTTATCTCCTCTTACCCTTTCCCTTTCCTTCCTTCTCTCTTATTTTTTTTATTGGAGGGGGGGGGGGTGCAACAGCCTGGGAGGCAAGGCCTTTTTGCGCCCCCCCCCCCCCGATCTCCTTCTTCACCCGTTTCTTTTCTTCTTCCTCTTCTTTCTTCTGGCGCTACATCTCTTACAAAAACAAAATGCAAAAATATCCAAAAAGAGAGGACTGCAATGGGGAACTTTGATTTAAGCTACGCGACCATTATTCTCTCATTTCCTTTCACATTGTATCTCATAACCATGAGAATTGCCAAGCTATTGTATACGTTATTTCGTTACACGAACACACACACACACACACGCACACGCACACACACACACACACACACACACACACACACACACACACACACACAAGATCATAACCTGCACGAGTCTACAAGGTGTGAGAAAACTCTGATTCAGGAAAGAATGCAAGGGTGAAAGTAAAAGCGAAAAAAGTGGACACTCTCACATGGCTTCCATGGATGCCGTCTTTGTTCTCTTTTTGCCTTCTTCTTACTCCTAGACCGTTCGCGCATATTTTTTTTTACAAAACTGTTTAGCCATATATAGTACATGTACATATAGTACATGGGTAACCCGACACATGCTCCGCCGACGATTGCTCCGCCGACATTTACTCCGCAAAACGCGACAATTGCTCCGCGACATTTGCTCCGCGACATTTGCTCCGACGTCAAATGCTCCGCCGACAGTTGCTCCGCCGACAGTTGCTCCGCCGACAATTGCTCCGCCGACAGATGCTCCGCCGACAATTGCTCCGCCGACAATTGCTCCGCCGACAATTGCTCCGCCGTCAATTGCTCCGCAAAACGCGACAATTGCTCCGCCGACATTTGCTCCGCCGAAATTTGCTCCGCCTGAAGCGACACTTGCTCCGCCGACATTTGCTCCGCCGACAATTGCTCCGCCGACAATTGCTCCGCCTGAATTAAGCGACAATTGCTCCGCCGACATTTGCTCCGCCGACATTTGCTCCGCCGACAATTGCTCCGCCGACAATTGCTCCGCCGACAATTGCTCCGCCTGAAGTGACAATTGCTCCGCCGACATTTGCTCCGACGACATTTGCTCCGCCAAAAAGTGTCCCATAAACTACAAATGCTACTAGTACGACAAATGCTTCGCCGACAATATTTTCTTTACACCTATTTTTTTCGTTTCTTTTTTTTTTCTTCATTTTCTGAATGCATTTCTTGAAATAATGTAGATGAAATGAAATGAATGAATGTTGATGAAGTGGGAGGAAAAAAGGAGTTACCTAAAAGTCATTTCGAATATACTGAAATAACTTTCCATCTATATCACTGTACGTCCCATATAATGTATACTAAACACTCATTACATGTCGTGGGAAGTTTTTAAAAAAAAGTAGAGCAGCAAGCCACATTCCCCAATACGCGCATACCTCCTAGTTAATTTCAAGTAGCTCATCAATATGTAAGACCTGAAATTACCTCGATCAATGCATCTTACTAGGTAAAGCATTATACAGTGTACTAGCTAGGTCATCATGGAAGTTTAGAAAATAAGGGCACTTATATACGTAAGGAAGAGAACCCATTCAGACGGGAAAATGAGATGGCAGCCTTTCTGCTTATTCACATTTATACAAATCATTTTGTTGCAGTTTGATGTTAGTTCTTCATGATAAGCCAATTGCTCTTCTTCCGGTGGCTTCGTGAGTCCCTTAAATTATTCAGTGAAAACAAAGTACTCGAATGAAACGGAGTGTTTTACACACTAACATATATATATATATATATATTAAAGCTACATACACTTAACTAAAGGAAAGAAACCTTTAGAAAATGGACTGGATATTATTGAAAATATTATTCTAAACAAGAATGTACTACATGATTGTATTACTTTACGTTTCAATTTCACGAGAGAAATAGAACTCGAGAGGGGAGCAGAGAAGAAGTGATGGAAATGAAAGAAGACTAATAGCATGAGAGGAAAGAAAAGAGCAAAGAAGACAAGAAAACGGTGTAAACAGGAAAAGGAGGAGCATGGGAGAGAGAGAAAGAGAGAGAGAGAGAGATAGCCTTGAGCTTTGGATCAGCTAATGAGTAATACATGAAACAGATTTTGAGCGGAGTAATTATCTTTCGCCGGAGAACTTGCGTAAGGAGCTATAACTTTATTTTTTATTTTTTTAAATCAAACATTATGGGGAATAGCAAAAAACGGTTGTCTTCTTTGCTCTTTTCTTTCTTCTCATGTTATTAGTCTTCTTTCATTGAGGTAATTTCAGGTCTTACATATTGATGAGCTGTTTGAAATTAACTAGGAGGTATGCGCGTATTGGGGAATGTGGCTTGCTGCTCTACTTAAAAAAAAAAAATACTTCCCATGACATGTAATGAGTGTTTAGTGTACATTATGTGGGACGTACAGTGATAGATGGAAAGTTATTTCAGTATATTCGAAATTACTTTTAGGCAACTGCTTTTTCCTCCCACATCATCAACATTCATTCATTTCATTTCATTTACATAATTTCATGAAATGCATTTAGAAAATGAAGAAAAAAGAAAAGAAACAAAAACAACCCGTGAAAAAAAAATATTGTCGGCGAAGCATTTGTCGTAGTACTAGTAGCATTTGTATTTAATGGGACACTTTTTGGGCGGAGCAAATGTCGTCGGAGCAAATGTCACCGGAGCAAGTGTCGCTTTCATGCGGAGCAAATGTCGTCGGAGCAATTGTCGGCGGAGCAAATGTCACCGGAGCAATTGTCGCTTCAGGCGGAGCAATTGTCGGCGGAGCAATTGTCGGCGGAGCAATTGTCGACGGAGCAATTGTCGGCGGAGCAAATGTCGTCGGAGCAATTGTCGGCGGAGCAAATGTCGGCGGAGCAAGTGTCGCTTCAGGCGGAGCAAATGTCGGCGGAGCAATTGTCGCTTCAGGCGGAGCAATTGTCGGCGGAGCAATTGTCGCGTTTTTGCGGAGTAAATGTCGGCGGAGCAATCGTCGGCGGAGCATGTGTCATGGAACCAGTACATGTGCACGTATACCCAGGGAAGAGAAGGTAATAGAAAAAAGAAAACAAAAAATACATAAGGAGAGTGCAGAGGATATGGAGAAAAAAAGACAAAGAAATACATAAGAAAAAAATAACGGAAGGGCTTTTAAGCACGAAATTACGCATCTAGGGACCCGCCTTAGGCCCCTTGGTTGAGTCCAGAGGGCAGAGCCCCCGAAAGCTCAAGGACTTTAGGCATTTAATTACGGCCAGATGAGCAATCAGGGGCCCGCTTTAGGGCCCTTGGTGGGTTCCAGGGGGTAGAGCCCCCGGGAGCTCATGGAAAAATACTGCCATTTTAGCAATACTTGTAAATCACTGGTATCAAATTAAAAATAACCCATGTTTAAATTGTAAGGGGGGGTTACTGCCCCCCCCCCCCCCCATCAGTACGCCAGTGAAAGAGGCGGAGGTGACGGAAGGGACTACCCCCATAAAGCTGTATGATAAGTCATATATGTAAACCCCTCACAAGTTTTTGAAGTTTTGTTGTGTTACAAAATTACATTCTTTAGCAAAACTACAGCATCAAAACAAGCAATATACTTTTTGCACGCTTCACTTTTACTTTGCCGATATCTAGTGTGCAGTCCGAAGGGTTGTAAATATTTACTAGGTAAATTTTAGTTTGACTGAGCAGGAAGGGACTTCTTAAAAGAGCAAGCTGAATATTCATTTTTGGAAGACTGATCTATTTCTATAACTTTTAATCTTGTTAACATACAGTGTAATTTGTACATACGTGATACCAACAGAATACATGTTTTCTTCAATATTTACTTGTATATTTTTAGGATATTATGCGAAGGAGCGTAGCGACCGAGCGAGAAGATTTTAGCATTTCTATTAGTCTAAACGCGTTACTCTTGGGCCCACCAGAGCCTTAAAGCGCGTTGCAGTCTTTAGTCAGTATTTGCTATACATTTTGTTGGTGTGCACTTTTTCATATTATCCATGGGGGACGATCCCCCTCAGATTATTGAAGGAAGACGTGTACCCCGTCCTTCCACCTATTTTGTGTTTTGCTCAAAAACTATCCACAAAAAAGGACTATGTATGCCCCTTTTGTGAAGCGACCTATTAATATTAATGTTCACATATCAGTCCCTTTTTGGATTGCCCTCCTCCCGTCCCCGTCCCCCCCCCCCCCCAAGAAAAAATATTATAACATTGTTACATGTGTGCACAATATATATTGATGTGTCAACCTTACGAAAGTGGTATTTTCATAATGATCATTGACCTCCTTTAAATTTATATTTATATGGAAGACTTAAGAAGACAACTGTTTACAGTCCAACTAAGGGTGTAGAGCATGCTGTGTAGACCAAAATGTGCAATGTTGTTCAATTTCTGAATTCTTTGTTTAAAAAACTTGCTTGCTGTCAATAGTGTATACATTTTTTATACGTTTCAAATGTCTAGTCCGGTTAAAAATAGCACGTAATGATTTCATTATTTGACACGTACTTCACATTGATTTATCTTATCGATAAGCGAAACGATTTGCTTTAGTATCATATAACAAATATAACAGTAATGACAAGTATGGTTTTCCTGAAAATTGCATTATACAATGTATATTCATCGTTATGGAAAATGTTGTATAATATACAACAATGGGCATTAACATTTTCCAGACCATTGATTTAATTACGTTTAATATTGAAGCTGTTGCCCTTTGTATATACATGAACTTGAAATAATAAGTAGCCTTGAAAGTATCGCAATAAATCATGTGTGAGTGAGCTTGAACTTTAATGGTGTAGGTTTGTTTGAAACTGTATAGCCTTTACTCTGTTTTTAATGAGATATATCTTCAATCAAATCAAATCAAACTGAGTGATGTTATCGTAGAACTAAACAATATCAATCTTCTGTTCTCCTAAATAAGCCTGGGAAACTTGAAAATTGCATTACAATGTGAATTCATTGTCAGTGAAATTGTAATACAATACACAACAATGGGCAAATAATTGTTTCCAGACCAATGATTTAAGTAAGAAGAACTTACATTTTATATTGAAACTGTTGCCGTTGTATATACATCAGGCGCGGATCCAGGATTTCTTAGGGGGGGGGGGGGTGGCAAAATTTGAAATTATGCGAGCCAAATATTGGTTCGTAATGGTGACCAGCAGTGACGTAATTGGGTGTGGGTAGGTGCAGGGAGGGGCGAGTTTCCCCCTCCCTCCTCCGCGAAACACGAAAGATTTGACATTTCAATAAATTATTAGAGAAAGAAGACGATTTGTTGTACCGTTCCCCAAAAATAGTCCTCGTCTGAATTGAGTTTTCCCCCTCCCGCGCTAAGCGGAAGCTTACGTTTATTTAAATCCTTAGAGAAAGAAGACGATTTGTTGTGTCGTTATCCCTTTTTTTTCTTTTCTTCTTCCTCTTTTTTCCTTTCTTGTATCTCCTCTTTTCCTTTTTTTCTTTCCCTTTCCTTCCTTCTCTTTTATTTTTTGATTGGGGGGGGGGGGCAACAGCCTGGGAGGCAAGTCCTTTTGCCGCCCCCCCCCCGATCTACTTCTTCCCTCTTTTCTTTTCTTCTTCCTCTTCTTTTTTCCCTTTCTCTCCTCTTTCCCTTTCCCTTTTTTCCTTCTCTCTCTCTCTCCTTTTTTTTTTTGCGGGGGGGGGGGGGGAGGCCCGCTTGGCCCCCCCCTGGATCCGCGCCTGGCGTAGCGACCGAACCGACAACGGCTGGGTTTCAGGGGCCCACCATAGGTGATGGATTTTAGGGCTTTTTAAAGGCCCAGATGTGGCATTTTTAACACCTTTTTATTCCAAAATATATCAATCATAATTTCTTATTGATGTGAAAAAGTAAGTACAATGCCTGGGTACAATTACACTGGAAGTGAATGTGTATGTAGTTATTGTGGTGCAATAAACACGAGAAATGCCAACATTAACATGGTTATTGCGACATCACTTTCGCCGACCAGTTTTTTCCACATAAAATGTCGCAATGCAGTATTGTTTTGCTCGATGTATCCCAGAAACCCGCGCGCGGACCAATCTAAAAATAGATACACGATGTTTCCTCAGATCGACAATGATAAACATTGTAATGTAGATAAACATCTGCACAACATCATACATCCCAAACTTCAAGCAGATAGCCCTGAGTAAATAGTAAAAGACGTTAAATTCCCCTTTCTTCCTTTTTGTTAAGCAGACATTTTGGGCTTAACTTCGACTGGATTTTCTTGATTTTGCTGGGTTTTTGATTTTAAAATAAAAATTGTCATAATTGTTTTGTTTTATTTCTTCTTCTTTTCCCCTTTTTTCCGGGCAACAGCCGCGCGCCACCCCGAGTGACCGCAAGCACCACGAGTGGCGCGCCCACTCGTGGTGCTTGCGGTCACTCGGGGTGGCGCCAGTTGAGAAGGCCTGATCTAGGGTAAGGTATATGCCCCTTTAAAGCTAAATTATATTAATTAAAGAGGAGCAATGTACCTAACAATTGTACACTCACTCCTCCCCACCCCCCCCCCCCCCCCCCACATTGTCAGGCAAAATGCTAAAGTGGCTAGAAACCCTCTGTTAAGCTGTTTGTTCGTTTACTTGTCACATAATTTTGAAGGAAATAGCAAGCACGTCACAAATTTGATAATCTACATATGTATAGAATACGGTTTCTTTATTACACCCTTTTTTGTGAGTAGCATGGCAACGGGAATATAAAAAAATTTGAGTCTATATTCTGTAACATTTATTAGCATGAATCATTTTGCTATCAAATGGCTCTTGAGGCCGTGAGTCAAATTTAATTTAAACTTACAAAATGGTATAAAAAAACCTAAACACGCACACATACCTAACAAACATATAAAAACAAATGTTGACGATATTGGTGATGATGATGATGATGATGATGATACTCATAATACTACTGCTACTACTAATTATAAAAATAGTGATAATAACAAGAAGAAGAAGAGGAAAAAGAAGAAGAAGAAGAATGAGAAGAAGAGGTAGAAGAAGGAGGAGGATAAGAAGGAGAAGAAGAAGAAGGTGTATGAAAAGGAAGAAGTGGGTTACTCACGCGTTACAATAGCGCCCAGCAAGGAAAGCACGATCGCCCCAATCAACAACCTTTTTACGATAATTTCTTCCATCTCTTCCTTTTTAGCTGATGGTACTCATTAAAAGTCAAGAATTCAAGTTCCGGTAACGTTTTCGTTCCACTTGAGAAGAGCAGAATAGACCGATAAACAAGCTCTGTGTACAGGCGAATAACCTCCGTCGACAAATGTATTGCGTACCACTGGTGCATATCCGAGTGGGGATTCCCCACTGCTTGTTGACGTAATTATGGCTGCTGCTCTTTGAACTACCAATATACTGATTTCCGGTACTTTGCCGTGAGACTAATGTCTTATTGTTGCGGTCTCACATGTGTTTGATACATTCAGTTATGATCAGTTTTGATCTTCTTCGAAACATAAAATCCTGGCCCTTTCAACTATGTTGCCCTCTCTAAATAGGCCTACATGTGGAATAATCATCTCATACCCACAATGCAGTAGCAGAAGGAAGTACTTTCTACACGACACAAGTCATGTTCGAGCGTGTCTACAGAGCTCGGAGATTCCCCGCTTTGTGACAATTAATGCGTCACCTAAGGAATATGTATTACATCTTGGTATGGAGACTGCGTTGGTAATTCATTTAGCTATGCCAGCCTAGTTACCTTTTTTTAAAACGAGAGGTTAGGTTAGTTTAAAGGGATATGGAACTTGGAAGACAACGCAGTTTCCATGTGCATGCAGTTGATCATTATGACTCTAAAATATCCACATATCTTATACACGATGGATACGTCCAACTTGGGCATTTTAGAATAATCACTGCTGAAGTGTATAGATGGCCCTGCATAACACCTGTTGTTAATTGTGAAGGTTACCTCTAGCATGAACCCACACTAGTGACTTAGTGACTGATATCCAGGCGCGGATCCAGGATTTCTTAGGGGGGAGGCCCAAATTTGAAATTATGCGAGAAAGAAGACGATTCGTTGTACCGTTCTCGAAAATAATTCTCGTCTGAATTTAGTTTTTCCCCTCCCGCGCGAAATTGTTACGATTTATTAAATTATTAGAGAAAGAAGACGATTCGTTGTACAGTTCTCGACTCTTAATCCTCGTCTGAATTCAGGTTCCCCCCTCCCGCGCGATTAATTAAATTATTATATAAAGAAGACGATTTGTTGTACTGTTCTCGACTCTTAATCCTTGTCTAAATTCAGTCCCCCCCCCCCCTCCCCTTCCTGCGCGAAGCGCGGAAGCTTTGACGTTTCATTAAACTATTAAAGAAAGAAGACTATTCGTTGTACCGTTCTCGACTCTTAATCCTCGTCTGATTTCAGTTCCTCCCCCCCTTCCCGCGCGAGGCGCGGAAGCTTTAACGTTTCATTAAATCATTAGAGAAAGAAAACGATTCGTTGTACAGTTCTCGACTCTTAGTCCTTGTATAAATTCAGTTCCTCCCTCTCCCCCTACTGCGCGAAGCGCGGAAGCTTTGACGTTTTATTAAACTATTAAAGAAAGAAGACGATTCGTTGTACCGTTCTCGACTCTTAATCCTCGTCTGAATTTAGTTTCCCCCCCCCCCTTCCCGCGCTAAATTCAGTTCCTCCCCCTCTCCCTCCTGCGCGAAGCGCGGAAGCTTTGACGTTTTACTAAACTATTAAAGAAAGAAGACGATTCGTTGTACCGTTCTCGACTCTTAATCCTCGTCTGAATTCAGTCCCCCCCCCCCCTCCTGCGCGAAGCGCGGAAGCTTCTACGTTTCATTAAATCATTAGAGAAAGAAGACGATTCGTTGTACAGTTCTCGACTCTTAATCCTCGTCTGAATGCAGGTCCCCCCCCCCTTCCCGCGCGAGGCGCGGAAGCTTTAACGTTTCATTAAACTATTAAAGAAAGAAGACAATTCGTTGTACCGTTCTCGACTCTTAATCCTCGTCTGAATTCAGTCCCCCCCCCCCTTCCCGCGCTAAATTCAGTTCCTCCCCCCCCCCCTCCTGCGCGAAGCGCGGAAGCTTCTACGTTTCATTAAATCATTAGAGAAAGAAGACGATTCGTTGTACAGTTCTCGACTCTTAATCCTCGTCTGAATTCAGGTCCCCCCTTCCGTGCGAAGCGCGGAAGCTTTTAATCTTCATTTAATCATTAGAGAAGAAGATGATTGGTTAAACCTTTCTCGTAAATAACCCTCATTGGAATTTAGTTCCCCCTCCATCCCGCACGAAGCGCAGAAGCGTTTACGTGTCATTAAATCATTAGAGGAAGAAAACGATTCGTTGTACAGTTCTCGACTCTTAATCCTTGTCAAAAATCAGTCCCCCCCCCCCCCTCCCCCTCCTGCGCGAAGCGCGGAAGCTTCTACGTTTCATTAAATCATCAGAGAAAGAAGACGATTCGTTGTACAGTTCTCGACTCTTAATCCTCGTCTGAATTCAGGTTCCCCCCCCCCCCCTTCCGCGCGAAGCGCGGAAGCTTTTAATCTTCATTTAATCATTAGAGAAGAAGACGATTCGTTAAACCTTTCTCGTAAATAACCCTCATCGGAATTTAGTTCCATCCCGCACGAAGCGCAGAAGCGTTTACGTTTTATTAAATCATTAAAGATTCGTATTACCGTTCTCACCTCTGAATCCTCGTATGAATTCAGTCCCCCCCCCCTCCCCTCCTGCGCGAGGCTTTGACGTTTTATTATTAGAGAAAGAAAACGACGCGTTGAACCGTTCTCTATACTCTTAATCCTTGTCTGAATTTCAAAGATGTTCTTTGTCTGCTCCTTTTTCTTCCTACGTCCTCCTCCGATTAGGGGGGGGGACCCTCCCCCCCCCCTCCCCCTGGCTACGCGCCTGCGGTCAGATAAACACATCTTTGTTTGTTTTTGTTTGATTGATTTTATTTCTGCGTTCAAAAATATACAAATTCAAAGTCAAAGTACAAAATTTCGAACAATAACAAATACAATGAATACAATGTTTACAAAAGTAATTAAATGAAAAATCATGTACAATTATATCATTCGATAAACATGTACGAAGCATACAATAACATAAAAAATATGAAATATTTTCAATAAATTAGAGAGGTAATTTGGAACGCAGGAGACCACCATCGTGAGCGGTTAGGCTTGAGATGGATGGCGGCCTCGTAAAAAGAATTGGCGACATAACTCTTCGAAAAACTGAGTGATCAAGAGGGTGCGGTGCAAGTGCAGGTGCAGTGAGCAGTTGCATGATAAAGAATAAAATAAGTCACGGTTTTGTTATACTAATTTAAAGAGAAGGGAGCATATGATTGTATTATTTGTCGTTTAAGTGTAGCTTTTAAGGAGTAGATGGTTGAACAAGACTTTATGTTGTCGGGTAAATCATTCCAAATGTCCGGGCCAGAATGTCTAACAGATTTGTGTGTTATTGATAATTTGGGGTTTGTAAGATGGAAGTTTCCAGATATGCGAGTAGAGTATGAATGAACGGAATTATTAAACCTAAACATGTTATCAAAGGATGGTGGAAGCAGATTATTAATGTACTTTAATAAACATAACAACTGCTACTTGAGTAGTGTTCAGATCGAAAATTTTTAGTGTTTTAAGTTTATAGAATAAAGGATCAGTGTGAGCTAAGAAATGTGAACCTGTACAAATACGTATGGCTTTCTTTTGCAGTTTGAAAATAGAATTAATTTTTGTCGAACCACAATTTGCCAATACACTATTACAATATGTTATATACTGGAGAACTAGCGAATTATATAGTAGGAATAAGGTTGCATGGGGTAGAAGAAACTTTAACTTGGAGATTATTCCAATACTTTTGGAAATGCACATTGTAACTTGGTGTAAATGATCATTCCGAGTCAAGGTTTCATCTATAAGAAAACCCAAAAACTTGGAATTAGTTTTCTTCTTTAGTAGCATACCATCGATTTTAATATATATACGTGTTTCTGTATTATGAGAATGATGTTTAAAATACATGAAATTAGTCTTTGTTGTATTAAGTGAAAGTTTATTGGATTTAAACCAATCTGATACTTTGTTAATTTCATAATTCAAAGTATTGTTTAACGAATTAAGGTCTTTATGGGAATAAAAGATATTTGTATCATCGGCAAATAAGATAAAAGAAAGAAGGGGAGATGTATTGATAATATTATTTACATAAAGAAGAAATAGCAGTGGCCTAAGATGGTAAGAGGACACTTTTTTTTCTTTTTTTTTGGGGGGGGGGTCTCAAATTTGACATTTTGCTCAGTTGGGGGGGGGGGTAAGGTCACCTTTTTTAGGACGACCGTGGGCATAATTCTTTTTTTTTTAAAGGTTTTTTTTAGGGGGGGGTTTACATACATAAAATTACCAAAGGGGGGGGGGTAACCCCCCCCCCTCCCCCCTGGGTACGCGCCTGAATGTGATATTATCCGTAGGTGGGGGATTCGTTTTTTTTTTTTTTCCCATTACCTCTTTGATAATTTTCCAAATTGCAGTTGTGTTTGAATTGGCCTTTTTTAATTTATTACAAAAATGCAATCTACGGGATGTACGGATAAGTTTTGTTAATTTGTTTCGATAAATTTTATATGTGTTAAGGTTAGTGTCAGTTGGATTGTGTAAATGTAATTTGTAGAGGCGATTGCGTGTTTGTATTGATTTCATTAAACGTTTCGTTATCCAAGGATTCCTGGGTTTATTACGCTTATTTACTCATTTTGCCTAAAGGAATATTCTTTTCATAATAATATTGCAATTTGTTACTAAAATGTTTATATGCAGTATTGACATCATTAACACTATATACCTCGGCCATCCCTCAAAAAAATAAATCCTGTTTCAGCAATTCTATATTACGTTTGGATTCTTTGCGATATATAAGCTCATCAAATGATTTACGGCCAAATAGTTTGCATTCACAAGTTAAAAATATGGGTAGGTGATCAGACACTTCAGAACACAATATTCCACCGATGGTTTTGTTGTTATGTACGTTTGAAAAAATATTGTCAATCTGAGTTGATGAATGTGGATTTATTCTGGTGGGTGTATTAATAATCGAAAAAAGCCGTATGAATGCATCAACTGCATACAATTGGTTGAGTTACTGTTATCAGATGAGGGTGAGAAGTTGATGTTAAAGTCACCAAGGATAAAATTGTGTTTATTTTCATCCCCTATTTTATGAAGATAAAAATCCAGTTCGTCACAGAATAAATCACAATTAGAATCAGGGGGTCTATAAATCAAACCTATGATGACATTTTTGGCATTTGAGTTATTAATTTCGATAAATAAAGATTCTGCTTGAGTTAGTTTAATATCTGAACGGATTTTGAAGTTTACGTTTTGTGAAATATAAAACGCAACACCGCCACCTCTTCTTCCTTTGCGGTCCGCCCTAATCAACTTATAATTAGGCAAATTGAACATATCTGGAGAATTCTGATGTAACCATGTCTCACTTATTCCAATGACGGAAAATGCAAATTATTTAAAGAGTGTAAAATGTTTTGAACGTATTCGAAATTTTTGTTCAGACTTCTGGAGTTTATATGTTAAAGTGAAATATTGTCTGGTTTGTAAGAAAATGAATTTTTGAATTCTTGGGGTGTGTAGTATTTGCTCTCGTTTATATCGTCGACAAGAATATCGGGAGTGTGCGCGTGCGAATTCATTTAACGATACGTATTATGTAAAGTACCGAAAATTTGGAGGATGAACAACTGCATGTGTGATGCTGGTGCGTTTGTGTGTGTACGAAGTGCAAGTGTGCGGGTAACTTCAAAATATAATACAAATGAAAATACAATAAGACCCATCTTGGTCACAGTTACAATAATAATCATTTTCAAATATTACATGTATCACCTTTAATAGAACCTACTTTCGATTTTTCTAATGTATAACGTATG